GCATTTATAATGACTGTGTGTAACCCGGAATCTTCTGGCACTGATCAAAGCTCCCAGCACTGCTGAATATACATCCTGCTCCTTTGGGGGAACCTCTCAGTTTCTTACCAAATTCCCTGCCTGCAATGTGGCTGCTAAATTATCTGTTGCATGTCGAATCAAGTATTTGAGTTTTGTTAGGTAGTCACGCAGGAACTTAATGCTAATCATTTCTCAGTTTTAAATGAAGAAGACGATTATTATCCGGTAAAGATACATTTACACTGATTAATACCTTTACCCATTAATATAGCTGGGTAATTTCCTTATGGCGTCTCACAAGCATTCTGTCCCAGGTGAATTTAGTGCACACAGATATATGAGAGCACTCACAGTAGCTGGCATATATAAGCATGCCGACTAGGGATTAAGTGTAAATGAACCTGAAACTAACTAGAGGGCATTGTACCCAAATAACAGGTGTGTCCAAAAATGATTTAGGCCTCAGAGGATGAAAGGTCAGACAGGGGACAGTACCATCACTGTTTCCTGCCTGCAAAGTAATGACAGAATCCTGTCACCGCTGATGCATACATGTCAACTTAGCAGTGAAAACGATGGTGAAAAGTGGTCAACCTACTGATACTCTGCAACAATAAATTATCACTGTTACACTGGCCAATCACATATAGTAAAAAGCACTGAAGGACAGCAATCAGTCAAACTGCTAGCAGACAGACAATCATTCTGACCTGAATTGTTTATTTTGGATGATGACATCCAAGGCAATGCAGGGCTGGACAAAAACTCATCAGGAGAGTACAACATGTCTCCAGAGACACGGTTTGTTTAATTCCATGCCAGACCTCCAGGCAGTCGCAGTGAAATAGCATTTTCATCAGTACTGCATTCCCTATGGGATTTTTTCCTGTATCAGATGACAACCAATCAGTGGTATCCTGTAGCTGGGGATGCATTTGGGTTACAGCATAGCAACGAGCCGACTTGCTCACGTTGTGGTGGAGAAGGGCAACATCACTCAACCAGCACCTAGAGAGGTGAACACCTTTCTATGACCCTCTAACAGGGTCTCCCTCATCCAACCTCAGTGGCATTTCTGATATCAGTCTAGAGTCCGCAATATACCTTGGCCAGTAAGTAATAACCCAAATTCTTCTCAAAAGTTGTCAACCGGGGGGTGGCTGAGGGATGGTTGTCGTCATTTTTTCATAACCACATGCTCGGTGACCCACTGGAAATCCACTCACGACCTACTTTAGGGTCATGACCCACTAGCTGACAAACACTATTCCAGACTAAAAATTGTCTACACTTGTATCCACTCAGCAATTTTTCATTTCGAATTTGAGGCTTGACCCACATAAACAATGAGTGACAAGACAACAGGTCATATGAAATCCTCTCAGCATAGCTCAGGTGCAGTAGCTACAATAAGATGTTATGATGTGGATGTGCGTTCTGAGCTAATGATGTGAAGGTTCTTGGGCCTTCACAGCTAATGGCAGGAATATTACTGCTGTTTGTCGGAAAGTGTGACCAGGAGAGCCAAAGGGTAGCTATTGCTACTGAAAAAGAGATAAGGCAGCACACGCCCCATAGTGTTTAAACACGCCACATACCAGGGACTATGTTAAAATTCACTGCTAGGTGCTCAGTTACAGACAGACAGAGAGGGATAAGTTAATCCAGAGTTTTCACCCTGAGCCTATATGTGTTAGGTATTTATTATATCAATGCAGAATTTTCCTTACATTAAAAAATGTGAAAGGAACAATAGGGAACAATAAAGTGGCTGATACCTGCCGCAGTTACTCTTAACAGAAGGAGGCACTTCCTAGTGTTAGATTACATTTATTGACTTAGCTGACACTTCCAATCTAAAAAAACCACAGAAACACCTGGATGTGTTTTAACCAAAACAATGCAATACCTGAACCTCAGGGGTGCAGCATTAAGTCCTCCCCTGGGATTCTGAACCAAGTGACCTTTTGGTCACAAGTACAACTTTCAGCTGCCAAGACCACCTGTTGTGTTTGCCCCCCCCCCAGGTCCACTGGGCACTGGAGTGCTGGAGTTAATCTGATTAGCGGGTTTCATCATGGTGTGTGGGGCTGGGGCTGCACTTTCAAAAACGCACATCACGCACTGCACGGAGCCCTTGATCGAGTCAGGATGTGAGGTGGGGGATTAACGAGAGAGAGAAAGAGAGAGAGCGAGAGCTTCAAGTAAACACCAATGAGGAGCACAGGGGGGTATTCCACAAAGCGAGGTTTTCCCAGTTAGCTGGATAACTTAAGCCAGACGTGAAAACTGTCCAAGAGGAAGAGAAGTAAGTGACATTCCTATTGGTCAATCCTTAAATTTTACTTAAGTTATAAGGCTAAAGAAAAAATCCTGCTTTGTGGAATACCCCCCAGAAAAGAAAAAAAACAAAGCATGAAAAGGTAGCTTGGGCTGCACTTACAGAATTGTACAGAAAATGTGACTTCCAGTAAGCTACCTAACGTTACATCAATTGACACTGAGGGTTAAAACCTGCTCCATGTTTTACAGAACACTATTATTCTGCATTTTATACAACATGACTCTGGGGGAATGAAAATAAACTATAATGCAATCAACAAATATGACGAGTTTCTTCTTTAATAAAACAAGTTATTAGCTAAATAAATAAATCAAGGAGCAAAATGAGCTCTCTCTCCCTCTGCATCGCCTGCATCACATTTATTGTCAGATACGCAGACGCCACTTGCGAGAGAGTTAGTTAGCGCTAGTGTGTGAGAGACTGACTTCTGCTTCTAATGTAACTCCGAGTCCTCCCATAAAACTGAGGCATTCACAACATTATCGCCTCAAATGGCAATGCCAGTATCTATGGCTCAAATCCGAGTCTGTAGGGTATTTTCTGTTGCACAAGGCAGTGTATGGTGATGCTAAGCAACATACCACTGGACAGAGGCTTTCTTACTGTGCGGGTCCTGTTTTTAAACTATTTGAGGCTAGCTTGCTGCTTTTTCATTACTGTATATACAGTGTTGTACTTCTGCAATGCTCTCAATATTATAGTCTGATTGCTTCCATGACCAAGTCTTCTTTTGAAGCTCATACGTGCTAACAAGATGTTTTTGTACTTAAAGAATTCTTCTTCACAATATACATCAGTGCACCGTGTTGTAAGACTGGTTAATCCAAAAAGATTGGTCACATGACTTATGCAAGCCATTGTAAAGATTTATGTGCAAGGAGGTCTGACAGTGGAATCCACACAGATTTGTTGCACTTCAGATTCAAGCAGATTATAACCACACAAATGAAGGACGACAGGTCAGTGAAGAGGCTGCAGAAGAACTTCAGCTAAACTCTACACAGTGTTGCTCTTCGTGACTTTTTGCATGTTGTATTATAGAGAAAATGGGAGAGGTGGGACACTAAGTCTTACACTGATCTGAAGATAACAATAATATCAATAGATGGAAAAAATAATTGCTAAGAATCCCCCCCCCACACACACACATGCAAGTTTCACCACCAGCCCCATCAGTGGCTATGTGAAATTGGCTGGATGAGTTGGCCCCCCCTCAGAAGATGGTGCCCTATAGTTGCTCACCTATGTCACCTGCTATTTGTCAACACTCAATAACAATCAATCAAATAAACTAGTAAACAATCAATCAAATAATTTGCGGAGCTAAACTGTGCTCAGGTAACTATTTACCTGACTGTGTGTGGTTTTATAACATAGTTTTGATTACTTATGAGAGCCAAAATTATTACAAGATTACATCTATAATCCAAGGATTGTAAGTGCATAGATGAAACCACAAACCGTATTTTTTTTACATTAAACTGCTTTAATAATAACAGATTTGTAAACTGCAAACATTTAGTTATGGTAACCTGCAAGGTAGAAGAATATTTCTGAGGCTAGTATTTTTGAGATGACAGATAAATTAGGACTGCATCAGGTTCCTTGATAAATTTTACGGTGGACACATGAGAGATTTCCTTCCTGCACTGCAAAATAAAATGTATTAATTTAATACTTTCTATTCTTGAAGTCCACCAGCATCGTTATACCGGCGACAGTTAAAACCCCAAGCATAAAATAAGAAGCTCGGAACCGTCGGAATGATAAAAAAAAAAAAAAAGCAGACAAATACGAAATGAGGAGAGAGCGCCCTGGAAAAGCATGGACGAGCCAGAGCAGCCGAAGCGGCACACCGAACTACATTTTGTTGACACACCCAAACAGATTTTTCCCTTCTGTCCATCAAGCCATGCTATTTATGGGAATACAGGAAAACGTCAACTTGGAAGGAAAACATTTGCCTAAATTACGGTGATTGTTAATGTTAAAAGCTTGTTTTTCCATGAATCCAGATGGTGGCCTAGTATTGTTCGTGTTCCACAGAGCCATAGATCCGCTGTGAGAGAACTGTCACTGATTCAGTCCCCGGGTCTAAAAGTCAGCGAAGGACAAACGTTGTAAAGCCGCTCTTGGAGCCAGAACGGCGCCCTCTAGCGTTTTTTTATTTCGCTAGAAATAAAATAATGCTATTAATACAACTTTTGTGTGCTACTAGCGTAGACTATGTCCATTGATCTGATAAGAAAATTTAACATCACAAAATCACAAAATAACCAACCTAATTTGGTCTTTATGAACCAATGTCACTGCCTAATTAATGTTAAGCAACATTGCTGCTCGTTTACATGAAAGCGTTTGACCACTGATACGGAATTTCACCTGAAATAAAACTGTTTACAGTATACAGCATTGAGCCGCTTCATTTTAATGTGTTGTTTTAACTTAATTTCTTTAGTGACAATATGGTAATAATTCTACAAAATCTAAACTGAGCTAGTACTTTTGGATCATGCCAAAAACTGGAGTGATTTCAACTAGCCTATAAACACTTGAGCCGGGGAAGTTGTGACGTTGTTGAAGTATTTACAAACCCAAATAAAATACCGGAGAAATAACTAATGATTGTTTGGGTACAAGTTAGGAATTCTTCATTTTGTAGCTAACTGATAAAATATGTTTACGGCTACTGTACAGGGTTTTCGTGTGGCGGTGACGGCATTAGGACCTGGAGCAGCGCGCTTCGAGTAGACAGATCATGCGAATCAATTGAGGCCACTGGCAAAGCAGAGACAGTTTGAATTAGTGAGAGGCATGGACGAGGTGCTGCAGGCAGCGGCAAGCTGATCTTTCTGTAGAGCTTCATGACCATCTCCAAACACTGAGTTTATTCAATCTGAGTTGCTTATTTACGGTGTTTACTGTTACTTTACAATTTGCGTGCAGGAAATTCAGCGATCAGATGCGGACTGTGCGAATTTATGCTTCTCGTTTTGAGTTTGTCGTCGGACCGTATTGGATGGCTATGGATTCGAGTATGCACTGAGGCTGTTTTCTCCTGGATCTACCAGTCTTAATGGAAACCATGTCACCCCAGCAAGAAAGTACGGGCCAGAGTCGGTCCGCGTCTTTGACAGGGGAAGTTAAGGTGTGCGCTCTACCTGAAAACAAGAAGGTACCGACTTCTTACATTAATCTCTAATTTCCGTTTGATGTTACTTTGGCAGAAAATAAACGGTTTGCAGGCGCATGTAACACTTTGATAGAAAGCGTACATTAGTGTATCGTGTGATTACAGTAGCAATTAAAACTTAATTGACGCGCATTATGTTAAAGGACCATCATTCGCTTGCAAATCGAAACACACATTTGTCTAATATCAAGTAACATTTACATGGGTGAGCGTGTTTTGTATGTTAGAGGACAGCAGTAAGAGTCTACTCCTTAAATGGCATTTAACTGCTTTTTTATCCAATGCATAAAGTTAGCGTAGACCATTCTAGATGACCACAAATAAACAAGGATTTACTGGTTGTGCAAAAAATAAAACGAACCTGCATTCACTCAGTCTGGTAATGCCATGCTACTAAATTGCAGCTTTCACTTTTAGATGAGGGGAATTACTCCTTAAAATAGTCACATATATAAGTAGTGCAGTGAGTCTGGCTGCTGCGGTTAGCTATTCCCCCTGTTTTCAATAGGCTGCCTGTGTAGGAAAAGCACGCTGAAGTCCACCGCGCGCGGCAGGAGAGTCTCGCGGCGAACATGCGCGGATCCCCGTGGATTTTCACCGCGGTACCTTTTTCCTAAATATACTATGCTGCCGTGTTTAAGCTGAAACTTGCAGTCAGTCGCTCGGCATGCCAGCATGATGTCATCTGTTGCTGGAATGTATAGTTTGGCTTCATTAATGTTCTTGTTATATGCACTATATAATAATGATCACTATGAAAGCCTTGTTTCTGAAATCTGGTCGCTTAACTGTATGAGGTACTGTATGTCATTTCTATATCAAAGGTGTACGTTGTTTGACGTCCTTCTGCTTTACCTATTTTGCTATTTTGACCATTTTAAAATGTTTTCGAAATGTAGGTAGCTGTTTGTCGTTTTTTATTTGCAGACGGTAAAACCAGACAAAAATTGTGTTTTAATAAATCGTATGTATGATGAAGGGGAAAACATTTTGACTGACAACTTGAGAGGTGTCGTCTTTGTGGTTGCCAGTATAAAGATGACAACACCTCTATCTCCGTTGCTCCTACAGTCATTATGTTTATAACGCATCACTGCCTCGGTTGATTGTAAATCTTAATTAAAGAAACAAGTCGTCTCGATATATGGATTTATTATATTGTAAAACGCTTGCCATTATAAGTAAAATGCACAACATATGGATTCGGAACAAAGAAAGGGTGAAGTAAATTAATAATTTTTATGACCATCGTATTTTTTCCTTGCGTCTAACGGTCACCTGTGTTTTTAATTCTGCGCAAAGGAAAGTTCGGCTCAGCAGCGCTTGCAATGACTCGGACTGTGCAATAACAGCCTGAGCCCATCAGGCTGGCGGAAAAACTCTGCCCTGGCATGACACAGGTTTAAGGACTGCGTATGTGCAAAATCGCCATCCAATTCATGGACAGGGCTGCAGAAGGAGCATGGATACCCCGGCAGATTTAGGGGAGGCGGCACTTTACAGAATGTCTTGAATATGTAAAAGTGGGCGTGGTGGGGGTCAAGGTGACATTCTGTCAGGGGGCCCAGATTTTCTAGCTAAAGCCCCTGCTGACAGTCTAATAATATAAACACTTAACCAAAACACGAAGAGCACTATTTCATTTATTCAGTTGTGTTGAATAATTGTTAGATTTGGTTAGACTTGGGTCGCTTCTCTCATGCCATCGCAGTGTCTAATCTGTTGCAACAGGAAATTCCTTCAATTTCATTCAATCATATTGATCTATGAAAGTGTGTGAATATTTACATGATAAATAATGAAATCATCTTAAAATGAAAACTGCTTTCTAATTCATAGTAGTTTTCCATGCTGTTAGTATAACTATATCGGCATACCGGGGCAATTTTTGAAATTTTACTTTCACTTTAAAAATATGATAATAATTATGAATATTAAAACAAAATTGAAAGCTCTAGAACTAAGCTAAAGTTAAAATACTACAGAGGCTTAAAGATATAGAGTGTCAAGCATATACAGTACGTTCAAAAGTATTAAGGGAGCCAAAGAAAATGTTTAAATTATTTTTATGTTGTTGTAAAACTATGCTATTATGCCTGTCAAAGTGTGTTAGCTTAGCCATTTCAAAGTCTCTGCTAAACTCACCCCAGTATTTCCAGCAACCGTCTAATACAACCATGTATTTTTGGACTCGACCACTAGTACACCTCATATAACTAATAAATATGTAATTGATTGATTTTTTTTTAACTAAGTAAGTTAAGTGAGCTGGTGGTGAAACTTAATGAATCCATGGAACGGCTGGGGTGCCCCTGAGGAGAGGTTTGGGAACTGAAGTGCTGTTCATCTAGCCATCCAACTAGATATCAGTAACTTTTTGGAGAACAGAGTGTTACTCGTAATTTGCAAATGCTCTAATGGTTAATAGTGTTTTTCTTCTGAGCAAATGTGCACTTACTAAATAAGTAGCTTAAACATTTCTTTTGACTGCCTAGGGCTTTTGCACAGCATTGTAAGTGTCCCTGTTCAGCCTTTGCCCCATCCCCCCCCCCCCCCTCCCAACCAATATTCACCCCACACATACATAGCAGTGTCCAGTATAACAGGGTTAAATGAAAAGATCCTTCTTATGCTCGCTGTCACGTTTTTGAACAAAATGAGAAAAGCCTTTCGATACATTGCAGGCAGATTGCAGCCTCTGTTTTCTGGATGTGCTGTAAAGAGGTGTAGCTGTCAGATTCTTTCCCTGCTGGCAAGTGGAGGTACTGCATACAAAATAATTTAAGAATTTTTCCTGGAGATTTATGTTTAAAGTTCATTCCCCACACAAGCTTGTATGGTGGTGGTGTTATGGGGGGGTCAGGTGACCGTACTCGTGTCCCGAAGGTGGCAGGTTTGAGTCCCAAAATCCAAGCAAGTCCGTGAACAGAGGTGTTTCCCCTGAGCTGTGTCAATAAGAGATCCAGCTGAATAAATAGAGGATCTCCAAGGGTGTTTTGGGCAACGGTGTCCATTAAGAAAAACACTGCAAGCAAATCCATGGAGAAGCCTGAATCTGGAGGAGCCCTTTTTCCAGGGACAAAATCTTTTCCAGATTGAAACATTCCCTGCTGTTCAGTTTTGCATCATGAGGGAGTTTGTTGGAAAAAAAAAAAAATGTTACCAGGACTCCTAGGCAAGTGGCTGCCGATGAAAGCAGCATCAGTCTAGATGAAATTAGGTCTAAATTGGGATTCTAGAGGTTAGACTGATCTTTATAAACTTGTCAGCTATGTGCATTTTTGGTTCGGTGTTGGTACTGCAGAATGCTCCTTGATCCCTGCAGACTTTTTGCACAAACATCTCTCCTTATGACTCCTACTTTGAAGGCTCTCCCTTAGGGAGTGAACTGGGGAGATGTTGTGTCCTGGAGGGTCCCCAGGCCTCCCCTGTGTGTGTCTGAGGAGGGCGGTAACTGGAGTAGTGTGCTGATAAGCTTAATCTGCAGCAGCGTCAAATCAAATTGCCATGAGCCACATGTGTGGTTTCCTCTTGAACCCTGCCAGTCCCCTGCAGAAATGGGAAATGGGCCATAAATCTGATTCTGTGCTGCTTTGATGCCAAGAACAGACAGATCAGAGTTGGGCTGTTTTTTGTCTTTTTTCATTCCAGGGAAAATATATTGTGTTTATAGATGTATAGAAGATAGTCTCGATGACAGGAGTTTTGGGAGGGAAAGAAACAGACAGCCATAGTCAGTTGAATATATTTAGCTTAGCAGGGTGTTGAAGGTTTCCTAGACTGGTTGTCTAGTCGAATGTCACTCAAAAGCAGCCCTGAATAGTTTAACATTTCCTCTCAAGAGATTTTAAACAGGCTGAGGGAAATATCGAGTAATCTTTCACAAAACAACTGTGAAACCGTCAGAGTGTTAGAAGGTTTGTTTTACTAGGTGACTTATGTGGCTCCTTCTCCTATTTGTCCATGAGGATAGAACAGGTACCTTCTAATGCGCAATGATCCTACTGAAGTTCCTTGTTACATAAACAGAGAACATGTAAGCCTCTAATGCGTTGATTGTTACATAGGGTTCATTTAAGGTACACACTGATGCTTTTTAATGATATCTAACAGGCTTTCTACAATGGTAACATTCAGATTTGTTTTCCAGTTACATATTCACATTGACTGTAGATACATAAATGACTACCTATAAGCGTGACCTCTGTCTTTTTGAGATAACCGTGTATTTTTTCTGCCTCTTTCACTTATTGACCCATAAAATGAAAATGTAAATATGCATTGCTTACACTACAAAAATCTGACATGTATGCTGTGTGTGTAGTTTATACATGGTGGAACTTAAATTAATGTTTGGGCAATTAAATTAAAGCCTTGTGTGGAGAGTAGTGTTTGTTATGTGCTTTCACTTTGTATTTAAGATTGTGGCAGGTGAGGCGCTGAGCATACAGTGTTAGTGTCTGGATGTGCTCAATATCACTGAAGGTCAGACTGTCCAATGTGTTTGAGGCATAGTGTTTTCCGGAATTGACAAACATAAATCCTCAATGTTTTCTTTCCCATTCTTTCTGCTTAGAAGATGAAGAGTCTGACGCAGCGACGGCAGTCTGCCCCGTCTCTGGTCATCAGCAAAGCACTCACCAGGACCAGAACCATCTCCAGGTACTGATCCGGCCGGCCACAGTCGAGCGTTGGCTTGTTGTCACCCAGGTGACTGTTGTCTGTCTGCAGACTTTGCTGCCAGCGAGTTGAAACATATGACTATTACATTGCTGAAGTGTGGGAGGATTAATGACTAACTGGTTGCTATATGATTGAACACTGCAACATTGAACAACTATAGTTAAGCATAATATTGAGCAGCTATACACTGAGTCAATGTATTAAAAATGACAGGAATCTAATGGCAGTTAGTAGTTGCTGAAATATTGCTTATTTACTTACATGAACATTTTACTAGGGTAGGACAATTGAATGGTATTGATTGACTCCCTCAACAATAGGATTTTTGTATGCGCATCAGATTGCAGTTGACGCTTCATGTGATACTCAACGTGACGCTAACATTCCTGCAATGTATGGATACCGTTGCAAGTGCATGAAGTTGGAATGTCGTTAAAAGCATGGCAGACCTTCTTATTTCAGGTTTGTTGTCTTTAAGTGAGCCTTAACAAATAGTTCAAGTGCAACAGAATGGTCTCAAAGTACGAAGAAACCTGTTTACTGCTGAGCTGTGGGCGAGAGTGATGGTGGAATGAGTTTTGTGAGGTTATGGAGCTTAGTAGCCTGACCTTTGGGCTGTCATTATGTGCAGTCAGGGGTCAATGGTGAGGTATTTTAAGAGTTTATAGTAATTTCTGAAGACAACTAGGACAGTCATGTGAGATTTAAGGAGTAAGAGGATCAAAGGTCATGTGGCATGGACAATAACGTCTGCAGATCTTTGTCGATGGTGGTCGAACCCTGAAATTTGTTGTGGTCCAGTAAGCCATGCTCATTTGCATTTGCTCTCTGTAGTGAATATATACCTCATTGTGGGTACGGTCCCTACCCCTCCCCCTGCAAATCATGTCTGCTCCCTTGTCAAAGGTAATTCAGCCTTCAGGAATTCATTAGTTTCACTTCTGCCACTTACAGACATCCTTAGTCGCCTCATTGTGTGTTGGGATGACAGGCCGCCCGTGGGTAACTCATTCAGAGCTTCCAAGAGAGCTATCTTCCAGCATAGTAGATGATCACCATTTCCCCTGCATCTAGTCCCAGACGTGGTTCCAGACCTAAAACCCTACGACAATCTCCAAACCCGTTCTTAGCTGGTTGGTGACTTTCTTTTCGCCACTTTTATAGTTCAGAAAACCTTATGGCTTCCGGTGAGGGGGGGGGGCTTAGCATTGGAGCATTTGAATGGGGGACTGGCACTATGCAGAAGAACCACAGGCCATTCGTCACACAGGGTGACGCTACCACTGTCACTTCTGAGGTACCTGCTAAAGGATACTGGAACGTTCCGGCGAAGAGGACCGACATTTGAAACAATCCCAGCCAAGGAAAACATCACTGGGACAGCAGAACTCTTCAGAATAGCTCTGCAGTTTTTTGTAATTTAGAGTAGAAATGTAAATGTTGCATAACCCTGAGGAATGTCTTTTCTGTTCTACCTCTTACTCTTTCTTGTCAAGGAACTTTATTAAGTTGTGATTTACTGCCATTTACTTTTAGATAATCTTTTTGTTAAAGTACCATATTTCAGGCACAGGCAAACAAAAATATTGAAAAGAAGACAGGTATAATCCTTCTGACAGAAGAAAATAATGCAAACATCGGTTCTAGGCATTGCGGTCTGAATTTAAAACACAGGGTTCCTACACTTCATCTGTACCACTGATAAGTGATTGTAGTTTAGGGTTTTGTTCAGACCGGTCTGCCTGGGCTGGTTCCAGGTTTTATAAAAGATGTTTCAGGGATTATATGCGGGGTACCGCAACAGAACACCGGTGATGTGCTAGTATGTTCTTGTATTGGTTGTTGCCAAGGCGATGTTAATTTAATGGATGATAGGAATCTTGAGGCCCGTGGTGTGGAATGGGAATCCCAGGGACAGTGTTGGGGGGAGGGGGTTGCATAGATCACATTTGGGGACCAAAATGTCCCCCAAAATGTGATAAAACCTGAAACTTCCTTACTTGTAGGGATATTTTTCAGGTCCCTATTTGGATAATCTCAATCTTATAAAAATCCGTAAATGCAATAAAAAAATAAGAATGCCAAAAGTTTTGTACAGTATTTTGTTTGGTTGCTTATGGTTAAGGTTAGGGCTGGGTAGGGGTTAAGGGTGTTGTGAGTAGGTGCGCCAACGTGTGTGTGTGTGTGTGTGTGTGTGTGTGCGCGCGCACGCATGCGCTCATAGACCTGAGTCTCTTTCAGTCATGGAGGTCTGTGGTGACTCACAGACAGCTGCTGCTACAGATGTTCTCATCGCTGTGACTAGAAACATATGGGTCAACGCCCAGAAGGAGGGAGGAAAACGAAAATAAAGGCTGACTGAAAGAGAGAAAGTACAGACTCAGAGATCACCATGGAAACGAAAAAGAGTGCATTTACACATTTTTGTGACTTTTTCACAGACTGGTCTGCGCTGTGTCACCCTCGCAGTCTGCGCTGGGTTTTCACTCAGGTTATCCCCTGGCTCCCTGTTGAGTGGGCATCTCCTTGGAAATAGTGGTGGGCGTCTTATCCCAGAGTGACTGAAAGGGAAATTACCTTTTAGCTTGCGGTTTGTGAGTAGTTGGACTTCCAGTGTTTGCTGTATTTTCCTTTCGTCCTTAATTTACTGGGTATTCCAGGGGAAATTCACAAGGAATGTTGTCCCAGTGACTGTATTCCACACCGCGGCTGAGTGGATGTTTCTTTCTTTGACTCCTTGGCCACCTGAATTTAAGTTAAGGGAAGAACAGAAATCTGAGTGTCTGCATTGTAAAACATTTTTTAATGTTATGTAGCTTATGTGAGGCTCTCAGACAAGTTCTCTGCTGTCACAGATAAGTCAGGAATTTTGGATGTTTTCTTTCGGGGACCCTAGTTATGTTTTGTGTGCCTGCTTCATGCGTCCATCGCAGCAAGCCACTTCGCTTTGCCTTGGAATGCCACCTCTCCCTGACCCTGTCAGTCAGACCAAGGTTCCGCCCTCCTTCTCCTTCTCTTAATGCTGACTGCTTGAACCTGAATGGGCCACAGCAGATAACACAGCACACCAGGCAGTACCCGAGGATCTAATGCCATTTTGATGTTGGAATTTTTCTGCTTGTTAGGTCAGGAACTCCATCTCAGCATTTCAGATTTTGATCTGCTTATGTTTTTCATTTGCTGCTTAGATTGTTTAGATTTGTCTTCATCCTCCAGGTTTTAGCCAGAACCGACCCCCCCCCCCCGCCCATCACAAGTTCTCGTGGGCTTTGTGTTGCTTATGGGAAAGCCTCCTGGTGTCTCAGTGTCCATCAAAACAGCATTATGAGCAGATGTATAGCAGAGAAGCACTAGGCATAAACAGGAAGGGATAGAGCCCTCCAACAATTTCCTCTATTGTCCTGTGAAGAGATGCCCCCCCCCCCGATCTGGTCCACCCATCACAGAAATGAGAGGTCATTTAGCAAATTCTCCCTTTTCCTAAAATCTGGTGCTTTGTCTTTCATACTCCCTCTCCTATGTGGTGTCCTGCCCCTAGATATATGTTCACATCTCCTTAGAGGACAATAGGAATCCAGGTCACAGCACCGGGACTGATTCTGGGATGATTACGGCTGTTGGTATGGCTGAGTTGTCCGAGGTCCGAGGACCTTTTAGTGTGCGGAGAGGCTGATGTTTATCAGCAGGCGCTGATAGCTTTGATAGCAGGATATTCTCACAGAATCTAGTGTTTGGGATTCCTGACCTTTGACTCCAAGAATAGCTACAGACTTGCTTATTGGTCCAATTTAGGAAAAGATGATATAGGTGTCATATATATCTCAACATATAAAAGTTTCCAAATTGGAACATGGAGCTCTTGCAAAAAATTTTTAAAATAAATTTTGTATTAATTGCCTGCAAGCTCAGTGTGATTTTATTTGGCGTGTGTGGTATCTGATACTTACTCCTAGGGCTATAGATATGTGACTAAAATCTTATTGAGAATTTTTATTGAAAATGATCACCAGTGAACTTTATCTGGCTACTTAAAATGTAAAATCCTCTAAGTCAGGGGTCTCGGACTCCACTCCAGCAGAGCCCCCGCCCTGCAGAGCTTCGCTCTTTCCCTGTTCCACCAAACCTGATTCAGCTCAAGAAATGGCTCATAATTAGCAGAGAAGTTGAAACATATGTGTTAAATGAAGAGAAGCCCAAAAATGTGCAGGGCTGTGGCTGCCCAGGACGAGACCCCTGCTCTAAGTATAGAGAGACTGATCAGGTTCGTGTCTGATTCACAGTCACTGACGATAGCACTGGTGGCCTGCAGTGACCTCAGCCAGCAGATGGGCCTTGGTCTTAGGTATCTGAGCCGACTGTGACACGAAGGGTCAGGACCTCAGCCTTAATATCAAACCCAGCCAGCAAATTACATAAATCCCAAGTCCCAGTCAACAGGCAACAAATGGAACTCTAGTTGTTTGCATACGCAGGACATCTCAGCCCCTGCTACAGCTGGGAAGCAGTTTTCTCGCTGAAACCTGCCGACCTCTGTGCCAGCTTTAGCCTGGAGCCTGCCAGCCGGGCCTGTCCCCGCATTATAGGTCAAGGGGGCTGTAGGTTTGCTGTCCTTCAGGTAGCTGTTGATAATGAGCAGCGCTGTGGTAGGTGTTGAGTGGCATTAAGTGTTTAAACTCCTCCTCAGTAGTACTAGCTAAGCCTCACAATAGGATCAGGATAAAGCTTATAATTGCATGAGTGGTTATTCTAAATATACACACGTAATGGGAATAACCCATTTAAACCCACACTGAGTGTATGTCACTCTGAAAGTGAAAGTGCGTTTCTCGTGGATTTTTCTGTGCACGCGTTTGTTTCCGTATACGTTAGCCTGCTAAAGATCGTAGGATATTTATGATCACTGCAAATGTGCAGCATGTTCCCCAGGTGGGCCTGATCTGAAATGATCGCAAAATGCCTGACAGAAGGGGACTGATTTAGTTTCTGCTGTGTAACCCTGCAGTTGGTGAACCGGCCGTCCTTTACAGCATGAGAAAGATCTTGTCCTGAACAGCACATATTGGTCTTGCCCTAATTCTGCATTACAGTTCACAGTGTCCTCCCGGGTAACAGCTGGGTGCTGATTACTGCAATGTCCTGCTATTTTCCCCAGAGTGATCCGATTGCATCTTTAGTAATCACATCCTTTTTTGTGTTTTTTTTTTTTTTGTGGGATACTGTGTGGTGTGTGGATGCATGTGCATCCTGCTAAGCGCTGATGGTGAACCTGCGCGTATGTTTGTGCCCCCAGGGAGGCCTGCCTGTCCCCCATCAGCCCAGAGGCTTGTCCACTTGTCCAGTCATTCCTTGGGGGGTCCCGTCTGTTCATCGCCCATGGCCACGTCCAAATGAAAACTGGCCTACAAACCCAAGAGCGCCACCTCTTCCTCTTCAATGACATCCTCCTCGTCACCAAAGCCAAGTGAGTCCCCCCCCCCACCCCCCCAGGTGTGTGTGAGGACCGCAGGGTGTAAATACAGGGGACTCCCAAGTGCCTAAAACCACATCCCCTCTGGCTAAACAGTCGTCTCCCAGCATGCCCTGCAGGAGCTGGGCTGTAATTAACTATCAGAGAGCCAATGGAGTTATTCTAAACCCTGAATGGATCAACATCCTGTTATTATGCGAATTGCAGGACTTGGGCGTGTCTGGCCAACACGCAGCAGAAGTCCCCCATGCGAGCTCCGGCAATGTGGCATCAGCGCTGCCTGAGTCATGAGAACACTTTAGCGGTGCTGCTAATATGTTAGTCGTTCTATGACCCATATTCCAAGTGACACCATTTTCAGAATCGGAGAGAAGCTGGAGGCGAACTGAACTGTTTTATTACCAAAACAGCAGCACAATGTGAAGTGCAGTTTGTGTGTCGTTGTGTTAAGGTTTGGTATACACTCCAATAAGCTTTAATCGGAGGTTAATGATGCATATTTTGGCAGCATGTTTATTTTCTGTGCTGTAATGGGTTTTTATTTATTTTAACTTGACCAGGTTGGCTTATGTGTGTATGATGTCCGTTTCTTTGTATATGCTGTGCGCTTGGATGTGTGTGTCGTGTGCGAGATTGTATGTATATGCTGTGTGCGCGTGTGTGGTTTCTTGTGTACAATGTGTGCGTGTGTGTGTATTCTGTGTGTGTGTTGTTTTCTTGTGTCTGTGTGCTGTGCGACTGCACATGTACGCTGGGCCGTAAGAGCTGACTAACCGTCCTGCCCCTGTCCCGCCCGACCAGGTCCTCCACACACTTCAAGCTGAAAGCCCAAGTGCGCGTGAGCGAGATGTGGACGGCCAGCTGTATGGAAGAGGTGTGTGAGGGCAGCACCAGCGCCGAGAGGAGCTTTGTCATGGGCTGGCCCATTTCCAACTGCGTGGCCACCTTCAGGTACGCCCCGCTCTCCCCAGTTGCCCCCGTGACTGCAGAAGTGCATCTTTTCATCCAAACAAGCCTGAGGCAATAAGAACCAGCAACAAGCCCTGCTCATAAATCTCCATGCCACATAGAGTACCACTCCAATGACTTTTCAATCTTTTAACTAAATAGCCAGAAAACTCTTCCAGGTCCCTGAAATATAATTACATGTATTGTCCGTCCGTCTGTCTGTCTCACTGTCCGTCCATCCGTCCGTCCATCTTGCCCTCCCTCCATCCATCCCAGGATGTGTGGGTTGAACACAATGCAATTACTCATTCCTCTGCACCTTATACAAGACCTGTTTCTGGAATTTAGTTTTCTCAGTTTTACTGCTTCTCTCTGCTTTAATGAAATATGTATTGCGAGAAACATAAGTCTTATAATGAATGCTGAGCGTGTTCAGAGAGCCCTTTTCAGGCTCCTCAGTGGGGCTCGCTGGTCACTGGAGAGGCTGAATTGGAGCTCTTGCAGAGGCGAGTTATAGAGCGAACTTATAGGTGCGGTTGCATGTGCCAGGGTGCCTGTAAAACTTTCTCCACAAGCCATTTAGTGGGGGGATTGTGAGGCGGCGTAGCTTTACGTACGAGGAGTGTGCCTTTACGAGGGTGTATTTAAGAGAACTGGGCTGGAACTTTTCATCTTTGTTTGGCATTTAACTTTCTTGTTCTTTACTTTATTTTTGTGCAGCTCCACAGAGCAGAAAGACAGATGGCTGCACTTAATTCAAAGGTAAGCAGCCCAGACGTCCGTTCATCACGGGGGCTTCTCTCTGGCCTTTGCTTAAGGGCCTCTCAATGCGTTTCTGTTACTCAAATAGTGACGCTCACTGATTTTGCCGCATGTTCCTCTTGTCCAGCCAAATCAGAGAGGAGAAGGAAAAAGACGAACCCAAGACTGTGCCGCTTAAGATCTTCATGAAGGATACTGAGAGCTGCGCATATGTGAGTGTGGCCGCTGATAGCTGGACATTAGTGTGTCGGCGCCCAAAGGCGGGTATCTGTACGCTTCTGTGCCCCTGAGTGTACAGAGAGCAGCAATAGCCAGCCTCTCTGGATTTCTGCACAGACCTGTTCAAATTCACACTTATAAGCACGCGCAAGTGTCGGCATGCCTGTTAGGGAGTTCAGAGGGGAGAGGCGGTGATGCACCAGGAGTAGTAGATTTGTGCAGTGGTTTCACACCTTTTTTATATCCCCCCCCCCCACCAGTCAAAGACATTACAAGTCAGCAATTCGGACAGTGCCACTGAGGTCATTCGCATGGCGCTGCAGCAGTTTGGGATTTCGGTAAGTGTGTGTGCTCCTGCTCTGTGAAGGGACTATTCATTCACATGTAATGTTTATAGAAGGTGTGTGTGTGTGTGTGTGTGTGTGTGGTCCAGGTATACCTTACCTTGTGATGAATACCCTTTTTTTTTTTTTTTAACCTTATGGGGACCAGTTTCCTGGCCCTTGTTGCAAGTTGCCAGTTTCCTGGTCCCCATAAGGGAAAACTCAATTTTATAAAAATCTGTGACTGCAATGAAAAAACTAAAAATGCAAAAAAACTCTTGTATCTTGTCTGGTTATGGTTAGGGCTGGGTAGGGGTTAAGGTTGTCATAGTTAGCAGTAGCATTTTTCCCATAGAAATGAATGAGCGGTCCCCATAAGGATATGATTACACGACTCTTTGTGTGTGTGTGTGTGTGTGTGTGTGTGTGTGCAGGCTATTGACTAGCATGCTGCTCTCTGACTCCCCTACAGACAAGTGTGAGGGACTACCGACTGTGGGTGATCTCCTGTAAGGATGCCGCCCCATATCCCCTTATTGGTAAGTCCCCACAATTCCCCCCCCCACCCCTTGTGGTGCATAATTTCGTTGCTAAAAAAAATAATATATTTACAGTTTTGGTTTTGGGGGAGAGGATTTAATAGGAATTTAAAAATTCAATTTCAAATCCAAAGCGTGGATAATGATTTTTATCAAACTTTTATTTCCTTTTGCTTGCATTCTTGTCATGCCCCTTAGCTGAATAACCTTTTTTGTACTCAAAAAAATTTCTTAACGTTTCTTGATACTGTAGAAGGGAAAAGATGGACAGCCCTTAATTTCCTCCCCTTCCTAGGTCACGAGTTCCCCTTCAGTATCAAGATGAGTCACATTCGAGAGCCTTCGAGCCACGTTGCTGGGAAGGAGGCCGCTTCTCCTGCGGGCCAGCAGGGGGTGGGGCTGTTGGGGCGGCCTCCCCTCGACTCGCAGTGCCAGTTCATCCTCAAGCCAAGCCACGCGGCAGAGGGACACTCACTGATGGGTAACAGAGCTCTCCTCCCCTAATGCAGTCGAAACCCGGGAACCTTTAAGGGAATCTTAGTGAAACGATGGAATGAGAGAGAGAAAGAGAAGAAGAAGCCAGCTGGGTGGGTGGAAGAGAGGGCTGTCTATGTCTCGGGCTGTTTCCTGCAGTTTTACGCTGCCTGATGTAACCACACGTTTCCCCTTGAATTCCTACAAGTATGTGTCACACAATTATAAAACAGCTTACGCATGTCAACACCATCCTTCTGAGCCAGATGTAGTTTTACTAGAGTGGTGGATCACGGCATAAAGAGTCCCGTCCCCCCCCCCCCCCCCCCCCCCCCCCCCCCCCGCGAGTGTTTTTCTGAGGCCCTTGTTGCCTCTCCCTTCCTCTTCTCCTCCCCGTCTCTCCGCTTTTCCATATCTCGCTTCACAACGCTTGTTCATTTTTCCTTTCATTCCCACATTCTTTTCCGCATTTTGTTTCACCTCACAGTCCTACACTCTTCTGTCCATGTTGTATTAAGTCCAGGTGCTTCGGGAATCATTTTGCCGTGTTAAAAAAATAGTACAGTATTTGCAGTGTTTGTTTAATAATATTTCTTTGACCAACCTTCCATCCAAGTGGTAATAGTTCAATTCTAACTGGTCTGGATGCTGTTGAGCGAAATGGCTACTTCAATATTAGTTTAAATACTAGAACTCATGGCCATAAGTGGAATCTAGTGGGAGATCATCTTAAAATGAATTTGAGATAGTACTTCTTTACACAGCGTGTAGTTAGAGTATGGAATAGTCTTCCTGCTAGTGTAGCGCAAACTAAAACCCTGGGGTCCTTTAAATCAGAGCTAGATAAGATTTTAACAACTCTGAGCTATTAGTTGAGTTCTCCCCAAATCAGCTTGATGGGCTGAATGGCCTCCTCTCGTTTGTAAATTTCTTATGTTCTTATGTAAACTCAGCTATAGTGGGTGTGTAAGGCCATAATGTCATTAATCAGTGCCCTTTGTCCTGCCTCCAGATCCCCTCAGCAAGACCTTCAAGAGGAAACGATCTTTGCTGAACTGGGCTTTCTGGAAGGGCTCCACCACGCATCTGGACGGGCCGCCCCCTTCACCTACCTCTCCACAGCCTGGAATGCTCTTTGGCCTGCCGCTCAGCGCCGTTTGTCAGGGCGACACCCTCCCGAAGCCCATAATGGTGAGCGCTCGGATGGCACCATTTCCAGTCTGACGGGAACCCCTCGCTCTTCAGCTTAGGACCAATGGAATTCTGCCATAAATCTGTTACATGCCTGTCATGCTGAAATGATTCATGGGAATTTAACTTTTGCATTAATGTTCTCAGGGCAGAAGGAAAAAAATGATTGGTTTAGGGAGATAACCAATCAGATTGTAGCAGAGCTGGATCTAAGCAACTAGAGGAGGCAGGACCAATCAATCAGATGTCTTGTTCCTGCCACCTCTAGTTGTTTGGACCCACCTCCTCTACAATCTGACTGGTTGTCTCTCTGAACCAATCATTTTTTCTTTTGCCCTCAGAACATTTTTGCATAAGTAAAATTCCCATGAGTGCCGAAATGGCTGTCCCACCACACAAAGTGACATTGTGGGGAAAGTAGCTTCTCACTTCAAAACAATCCTTCAGTTCCATTGAATGGCATAATGCATAACAAGAGATTTTTGTAAACTTCAGTCACATTATCAAGCCATTGGGAAAAGCACCATCTTCACAGATTAGCTTTAGTTTGTGATGTTTGTGAATTCTTGGAAAAAAGAACTCTGCTACTGCGATAATGATAAAATGGGTCCAACGGGAAAAAAATCCTGTCCAATTCCAGTGCTAATTGGTAATTTCTCATGGGTTTAGCTAACTTTGTTGAAAAAGTAAGGAAAATGAGCAAGGTTTTTTATTATGTTCATATGAAAATAACAATCATATAAGGATATTTTTCTTCCCGTGTGAGGCATTTACAATAATAATGACTTGAATGTTTGCTGCCACCTCTCTCTGCCCTTATTGCTCTGCGAAGGACATGTTGGACGTGCTGTTCCACCACGGCCCGTACACCAGGGGAATCTTCCGGCGCTCAGCCTCCGCCAAAGCCTGCCGGGAGCTGCGGGACAAGCTGGACTCCGGTGCACAAGACATCCAGCTTGAGCACGAGGCCATCTTCGTCATCGCCGCCGTCTTCAAGGTGGGTTGCTGCTGAACATGTTGGTGCCCCCCAGTGCTTTACAGCAGAATGTTACAGTGGTTTTGATTGGTGCATGATTGTCATGTCTTACACTGTACAGCAGAATGTTACACTGGCTCTGATTGGTGCATGATCGTCATGTCTTGCACTGTACAGTAGAATGTTACGCTGGCTCTGATTGGTACTTGATTGTCATGTCTTACACTGTACAGTAGAATGTTATGCTGGTTCTGGTTGGTGAGTGATTGTCATGTCTTATGCTGTAGAGCAGAAGGTTATGCTGGTTCTGATGTATGATTGCCATGTCCTACGCTGTTGTGCATCACAGCTGTACATAGCTGTAGTTTGTGCAGGTTGCAGTAATTTATGATTGCTTTTGGTTCTGCTGTTCCAAATATTCTTAATTTTCTTGCTTTTAAAGACATTTCTGGTGCCCCTGACATAGAAATGCATCTTGGCTGTTCAGAGACTTATTTTGTTTCCATATTGGGAGTATTATTTAAAGCCTGTGCTGCTGTGATGTATTTCTTACTTTTCCTCTTATGAAGGTTTTTAGTGGGAGCAGCCTTGGAAAGTCAATAAACTGTCACCATCAATATAGCAAAGCTACTGCTCTCACTATTCAGGGCAGCTGTCTTCCTGAATGACGATGGAAACAGTTCCTCCAAAACCTGTAACATTTACCATCAAAGCATTTATTGGCAAAGAATTGTACCTGGAAAGATGAGGAAATTTCTAGGAACAAAAGACAAAGGGAGGAATGAGTGACTTACTTTATGCAGCAGCTTCCAGGGGATCAGGTAGATGAACCTAATTAAATTTAAACCACATGCATAAACCCATTCCTGGATCAGTCAAGTATAATTGAATTATTTTAGATCTTGTGTGGTTTTTGGGTTTCAAAATCAGGACAATAATATAACTGAGCAAGAAAATCCTTCAAAAAGATGAACTTCTGTGTATAAGTCCTACACTGGAGGCCAGTCCCTGAATAGATCCATGAAAGAGATTGGGACATATTTCCTGGCAAACCCAACTTGGCATCTATGTGCGAAAAACTAAATGTTGACAATACAAGCAAAATCCACTGAACTGCTGTGGGTTAAATCACTCTCTATAATAGCTGCTTTGTAAAAGATCCATCGTCAGCCAGAAAGGGACAAGCTGGTACAGGAGAATGAAGCCTGGTTCCTGTTAATCAGAGCCAGGCAAGTTGAGAAGTGGCTCCAAAATGATAGTTCACCTGGAAATACAAGAGCAATCGTCAAACTGACCAGAAATATACAGTACCGGTCAAAAGTTTGGACACACCTATCCATAGGTGTACTATTCTCTACATTTTATAGTTTTTCATCAAAATCATAAAATACCATATATGGAATTATGCACTGATCAAAAAAATAATAATTTGTTTGAGGGCAACTCTGTGGGTGGGGACTCAGAAGGTTGCTGGTTCAAACCCCTGGGTCAGCAGAATGATCCTATCATTGGGCCCTTAACACTAATTGCTCCAGGCACTGGCTGATCCTACACTCTCCTCCACACCCGTTCCATGATGTGTCCTCCTGGGATGCTTTTCCAGCTGTCCTGAAGGAGGTCCCACATATTTGCTGAGGCCACTTTTCCTTCACTCTCTGGTCACTCTACTATGAAGGTGGTTTTGTGTGCCCAGATTTTTGTTTGGTATTGTAGTTCCTAAAAAATCCTATATCCACCCACAGACCTGAATGACCCTAGATGAGATTGCTCATCCAATGGAGGGTAGTAGATACACACATAAACACATGCAAGGATAATTGAGAGTCACAAATTTATCTGAAGTGCACATCTTTGGATTTTGGAGGAAACTAGAATGTGCCTTATGAAACCCAGAAGGATATTTGGAGCACATAACTAGCATTCAGCTGTGGATCCTTGTGGTTGGGTGCAGCGATGTTCCGACGTTCCCCTCTCAGCATATGATGTATCTCCAGCTTGGTGCCTCCCAAGCATTTAGAAAGTGGCACTGCAATTACTTAATTTAGCCTCTCTGTTGCATTGAGTATGAGGTTGGCATGTAGATCTCGGCATAGGTTAGAGCGTGCCCACATGCTTGTGGTCCTGGGAAAGCGTGCGCTGCCTCACAGTCCTGCACGGGCTTGTTTATCGTGCCGCTTGTGTAACGTTGCTAAGTTGATCCTAATCACATTACGTGTGGATTCTCACACTAATGTTCCCTGCTTTGGTGTCCTTGTTATATGAACGGTGACACATGGAGGCCAGATGTCATTATGCAATGGCTAGGCTGTGTCTGTGTATATGTCTGTAGATGTGTATAAAGTGTGTGTGTGTGTGTGTGCGCGCGCGTGTATAATGTACTTTCTCCCCCCCCTAGGAGTTTCTGCGCAACATTCCTGGGAGCTTATTGTGCCAAGATCTCTACAATCAGTGGGTTGGGGTTTTGGATGCAGCAGGCGAGGGAGAGGAGGAACGTGTGCAGGCCACCCAGAGGCAAGTCTCCCCAGCAGGGAAATTCAGTGGGTCGGGCTTATGGGTGGACGGCTGGACGGCTGTGACTCAGGCCAGCTGATACCTGTCAGTGACGACCTGAACGTCCCATACTGCTGCAGTGAGGCCTGGACTGCTGAGGGCCAGACATACACACCCAGTCCATCCGTGTAGTAACTCCCAGGCCTCTGCATGCTCACTGCTCCAGTTACCATCCCTAAAAGGCAAGCGAGAGCAGATGGAAAGAAGAGTGAAAGTGATAGAAAGAGAAAGAAGGAATGTTATGTGCTTGCAGTCAAGTTGGAAGATACATTTTTAGAATAGGGCTCAGATGTCATCAGGAAGAGGAGTAGGTTCTGTGTTCTCTGCCCACTGTTGGTGGAACAGCAGACTGGTCGTAACTGGTTCTGTGTGTCTTTGCTTCTCGGGTTCTGCTTCTAGGTTGGTGCAGCGGTTGCCAGTGGAGCACCAGCTCCTTCTGCGGCACGTGCTCACTGTGCTGCATTGTGTGGACCGCCACTCCGATGACAACCAGATGAACGCCTTCAACTTGTCCGTGTGCATCGCTCCCAGCATGCTCTGGGCCCCAGCCCCCAGCAGCCCTGAGATAGAGGGGGGGTACACCAAAAAGGTGAGCCTCCTGAGGTCTGAGTCTGCTGCTTGTGGAGCGCACTGTGTATTCCAGAACTTTCCAGTTGGACTGAGGAGTGCATATGACCACCTCTGCCCCCTTAAAGAAAATTATAGTGTGAAAAGTGTTTATCAGGTGTTGCTGAATAAATCAAAAAATTGAATGGGTTTTAAGATACAAAAAAAAATCATACAACAGACTGTCATCTTCCCGTCTTTGTTCATTTAGTTAAATAAAAAGTTCCTTTAGAGTAGCCCAGTAGCTAATATCTGTGTTTATAGCAATGTTGTGAAAATTATTGTGTTCTCTGCCAAACATGTCAGTAAATTACCAGCAATACTGATTTTGTTTTTGGTTTTTCAAATTTTTAGTTTTTCCATTCCAACGTGTTTATACACTTTTTTTTTTTTTTTTTTGCACTCAAAGCCGAGGTTCACTGGAAAGTATTTCAGACATTTCCTTTCGATTACTGAGGGCAGCACTCTTCTTGTTAATGGGTGGTGCAAAACCTCTTTTCCCACAGTTTGTTTGTTTGTGTTTGTGGTGGAAAAATGTGAGGCCTCTGCATTTCACACTGCCTGGGTCACAGAGGCGGCCAGAACCTTGCGAGTTGAGGATAGTGGATATACAGCCCCCCCATCACAGAGGAAGGCTTATTTTCAACTGTCCCTCCTTCCTGTGATCCACAGATGTAATTTAGATGATTTTCTGTGGCTCTACATTGCAATAAGTCGGCAAATGACTTGTATAAATATAGTGCTTCTTGTCAGCCTTTGACAGGAGTCTGAATTCAGCCAAGTGGCCTTTGATTACGGCGGCAGTTGGAAAAACAAGATATGTTCGTCTTGTATTTCTTTAGAGAAGGCTTTGACAGATCATTGGAGAAAGACTCTATTTGCTACATGAACCACAGTGTAGATAGTTTCTTTAGCAAAAGAAAACATCTACTGTTTTGGTACACTAGTTGATAATACATTAAAGGGGCAAAAACAGTGTTTGCCCAAGTGTAACTGCATTTTTGACAAATCTCAGCCTTGGGAGTTTTGACTAGGGGGGTGAAGTATACACTGAATATAGAAGATGCACTGGGTGGCCTGGAAATTGGGGTTTATCCTCATGAATTTAGGTATGGTTACAGCTAAGAGGGAACGTTCCCCGAACTTTAGTGTTAAGGCCTTCTCAAAGTTGGCAGAGAACATTCTTTCTGTAACATTAACCTTTTACATTTTAACAAAGGCTCTGGCAATGTCAGTGCTATAACATTTTTACCTGAACATCCTAATATTGTTTTATGAACGTACTATATGTGTATGCTGCGAACACAGCACCCGGCCTTGAACCCATGACCTTTGAGGTAGAAGGTGTCAGTGTTACATGCTGCCCTTCAGTGGGAGAGAAGCAAGAGCCACTGGACCATCATCCTCTGCATTTGTAAAGAGTGACTAAACTGTCCTGTTGTCTATTTGCAGGTTTCTGAAGTGGTGTGTTTCCTCATTGAGAACCATGCCAAGGTGCTGAGAGATGATGGCACTGCCCACTTCAGGGAATTCCCCCAGAAGCGGGGTAGCAGTGACCAGGGATCTGGTAAGGCCTCACCTCTTCTTCTTGAAGTATTTAATTTATATGGTTTTGTTTTTATCAGCTATACTAATGGGATATATGTACCGTTGTAGATCTAACTGTTCTGCAGTGATTGGCTCACTCTATAATGGTCTTTAGAGTTTGCCCATTTTGGTAAATACTGGCATTGGATTGGTCGGTTATGGTGGAACAGTAAAATTTATGAACTGCAACAACATGGCAGGATGATAGCATTGTAGTCAGACACTATCCAGAGTGTGTATGATTCAAACGGAGTGAGAATAAAGTGAATACACAGCCAGTTCACCGAGCTGTCAGGAGATGGCTGGACCGGCCTGGATTTCACCTGGCTTGGTGCCCCCTGGCGCAGTCAATGGAAAGGGCCAGTTGTTTTGCTCTTGCAGTCCTGTCTGCGTTAGCTGACCACATCCCGCTAAGCCACAGCTTCCTCAGACAGTCGCCATTTGTCATGAAACACTTTCATTTGCAGTCAGTCTACTTATGTCTCTAAATTGCACTTCTGTTGAGTGCGCTCTCAAATTTTCTCCCGGTCATTCTGAAGTTAATTTTACACCAGCTGCGTTTGTCATGCTAACGGATAACTAAATGTTGGAGCGTTTGATGGACCAATGAAGATTTGTGTGCTAACTTTGTCCCCTCGTTCTGTCTGTCCTTGGCCACAGACGTGTCATCCTTCCAGATGAACGACTCGTCTTACGACAGCCTGGAGAATGAGCTGAATGATGACACAGAGTCTGCGTTCCAGGACCTGCGGCGGCGTAGAGACAAGCAGGACAACTGGAGCCGTGACTCTGTGATCACGCTGAGCGACTGTGACCTGGACCAGCCTGATGCCAGGCCGGACCCCGAACCGGATCTCCTGCAGCTCCCTCCACTAGCCCACTCCAGAAAGTTTATTCCAGCTATACGCCAGCCGCACCCCCGGCCACACCCCTATGGGGACATGACGGGCCAGGACCTCCTGTGTCCTCCTGGCAGCGGGAGGCGATTGCGTCGCTCCTCTGAGCCTAACATTCGGCACCCCCCCGCCTGCCTGCCCGGCTTCCCCCAGGAGCACTCCCCCGTGATCCGTAAGGCAAGCTACGATGCTGTGACGGCCGACACCAAGAAGGAGGAGGGGGAGGAAGAGGATGAAGAGGTGTTTGTGGGGCACATTTGCAGTCTGAACCTGAACAGCCAGATGGAGCCTGAAAATATCCAGGATGTCCAGAAGGACAGGAACCAGGACAGGAAGACCACCCAGAGCACCACAGGCCGCAAGCATAAGCAGCCCCCCCCACTACGCCTGGATGCCAGCTGCTCCAGCCTGTCCTCTCCTGCGACGTCACCCTCGGCATCCTCCATGAGCTCGCTGGACAGTGCTTTCTCACAGTACTCCACTGACTATGCTGTCTTCACTCCAAACGAGTCCTGTGGCAGCTCTCACGGAGCACAGGGGAGCACTTCTCCTTACTCCCCTCCTTTCACCTCCTCCAGCACCCCCTGTCCAGCCACCAGCTCCCCAACTCCCTCTAGCCAATTCTCAGTGACGGTCCCTGTCCTCCCCATTGCCCAGCCCAAGGAGACATCTGACTGGGTTCAGCACCGGACTGCTCACGGCCTGCACCCCAACACCTGGCTGAAGAGGGACAGCCGCTTGTCGCTGCTGCAGAAAGACAGGGTGAGTCAGGAGAGTGCGAAGGAGAAGGAGCCTAGTGGCAGCCCTAGTACTGGACTCCATTCCAGGCCCGCAGGGGCTTGCACTGGCCAGGATGAGACGAATGACAAAAGAGATCGGAAGAGATCCCAAGACCACGGAGGTCTGTCCAAGCGGAGATCCAGCTGCCCACCCACATACCAGCAGGCTATTCTTCAGATCCAAAAGTTGCCCTTCTTCCAGGCCAAGGACAAGACACCGACTGTGAAGGAGCCCCAGCAGCTTCATGGCCAGGCTTCTGTGCACAGGCTCCCTGTGGGGTCAGACAGCACAGGAAGTGCTGAGACCTGCAGTAACATGGCAGCTTCAGGCAGTGACTGCAGCCAGCCTCCCCAGGCAGTGTTTTTCGGACAGAGCCAGTCCTGTGTGACCCTGTGCAAATGGCCCACGCACCCCCTCAGCCCCCCCACAGCTTTCCCGCGCCGGGCGTCTGAGCCCTCTGTGGTCCTGTCCAGCAGTCAAGAGGAGCCGACTCACCGAAGCGTGCCGGACTGCAGGCTCCGTGTGTCTGCCGTGGACATACACGATGACAGGGCAGGTCGGGACGAGGAGATGAGGTTCTGCCTGTCTCCTTCTGCCACCAGGGCAGTGGAGAAGTACTTTTCTGCGCACACAGACCCAGAAGTGTGTCTGAGTCGCAGCCAAGAAGTGGCTTGGGCTATCGTCCAGGGCAAACGAGAGTGGCAGAGTAGGAGGTGCAGTGACCCCAAGTTTGATGACTTTGACCAAATGTTGTTTGCTGAGGAATCTTACGTCTGAAAATGAGACCTTTTTATATTTTTAGTGTTTTTAAGCTATTGTGAAGTTGTAGTTGAAATTCCCTTATTTGTGTACTTGGGATCAGGTTTTATCTGTTGTATGTTGCTGCCGATCACTCCAAAGTGTTTGTATGCTTGCTCACGCAAACACGTCATTGCAAATCATCAGACATCCAGCTGCTGCTAAAGGCCCGTGTTTGAGGCATGAGGCCTCGGGGGCTGTGGGCCTCTGAGATGCGACTCTCTCATGCCAAGTAGGGGGTGTTCTTCATTGTTTCCTTCCTGTTTTGTGACCGGTGAGGACAGGAGGCACCACTTCTTTTTCTCCCCATGTCTGAGCTCTGCAGTCTCTGAAACGCGATGCACAAACACACAGGCATGCAGGATGTCTGCCTCGGGCTGTTATGTAGCAATATGGACGTAGAATAGTGGAGTATAAATGTAGGGGACATAATGCATGTAGGCTTACACAATTATCTAGTCTGCCTATCTTTAAAAAGTCTATAAAAATATAAAATGTGCATCTTTAGAACATTAAAAAATACCTTTATATATACCTTTATATATATATAGTGGGAACAACACTGTATGTGCAGAGCGCATGAAAGATGTTGTCTAATGTATAGGCCATCTGTCGTAGATCCTGCCTTCAGAACACGCAGTGTGGGAGTGCTGATCAGCTTTCAGCAGAAGTTTACTGACATGTCCTCGTGGCTTCTTTAAGTAATCAATGAAGGTGTGTGCGAGACGAGGACCTGTTTGCGCATATATTATATGATTGCACATCAGTGTGTGTGTGTGTGTGTGTGTGTGCGTATGTGGGTGAGAGAGAGAGAGAGAAAGAAAGCTCATATTGATCTGGGCTAATACAGTCCAGTACCAGGAAGGAATGTGGGAATGTTTGTCCTGCAGAAAGTTGAAATATTTCACAACACTTAATTCTGCTCTACTTTTAAATCCGGTGCTGCTTTTGGATATAGGAATCTCAGTGTGGTGTGAGACACAGAGTGTGAGTGTGCGTGCGCATGTGTGGTGTTTAAAGCTCTAGATGTCAGCGTGTTTGTACAGGCAATTTTTTCTTGTAATTTTATTTTTCCCAAAGTTCTTTTAACAGATTATATCGCTGCCAATAATGCACACTTGTATGATTTTTGATATACGTTATTGCGGAAAACATTCTATATATTAAATATATTCTATATTTTCATTATTTCCATTCATTTTGTTGGATGTGTATAGTTGTCTATTTGTCTGTATGATGCTTCAGTGCAAAATGCAGTCATTGTAGGAGCTGAAGGAACCCGAAGGTGTATTTTTGTATCGGCGATCCTACTGCTGCTGCCCCATTTCGGGTATATTTACGATAAAATCGCCTCATTTGTTTATTGTGTTAATCTGATGTGTAATGCACACATGAAAGGAATTACAGTGATAATAATAAAGCATCACACTCCTAATGAAACATTACACTGATTCAGTTGCATCCTCATTTCCCTATGCTCTGTGTGGGTATGTATATGTGTGGTGGAGAAGTTATTCTTTCCCAGTTCTCCCAGTGCTAGAACCCAGTTCTGGAAGGCTGACTTCTGGCAAGTCATTCAACACACAGTCTAGTGTGTTGATATTAAATTAACCTAGTTCTGGTGCAATGCTTGAATTCAGATAGGCTAAGACTGTTGGTTAATCTCTGAACACACATTTGGGGAGGGGGGGGGGTATATTTCACTAGGACCAGGTTAGCCGGGTCAGTACTGTTTGCCTCAGATCAGAGTGGAAGCCGCCTCTAACAGAGAGACCAGATGCAGAATCATACCGTCTCCCTCGCACATGGTCATGATGTTATTCCAAAGGTCAACAAGGCTGTCCAAAAATAATTCATTGACATGTCGCTTGTGTTGCTGTGTTTGAGGTGGGCCATAATATCCAGACAACAGCATCTGCTGTTTGCAAGCCTGGAAGACCTAGTCCAAACGCTAGCAATTACATAATGGAAATAAAGTTATTAAACCCACATGGCTTGGCGTGGCTGACTGTCCGGAGAAGTTTTCCAAGGATAACATATGGCAAGAAGTCTGCACGTGTGTCTCATAGGCTAGTTATATAAACTATATATGTGTGTGTTATGTAATATATGTATATATTCTAAAATTTAAATCATTTTGAATAGTCGTCTTTGTGTTTACTTTTTGACACATTATTGCCATGGAGAAGTGCATTACAATTCCAACGTGAAGCTGTCACCATCCCGCCGTTCATTTATAGTCATGCTGACGTCAAGCCTGTTTAGGCTCTATGGCAGGCCCAACTGACGACAGGCTGAAATTTATAGGTACAGCCTTCCATTTCTCTAAAGAATGGTTCCATCTTTTTAGTGAATTGTTCTGATTGGTATAAATGGATATATGGTAATGTTTCACAGAATGAGAAAAAGACAGAACCCTCTCCTGGGTCTGTGTAGCTGACATGTTTGCATGGTCTTGGTCCCTGCACTCCAGATTCCTTCCTTAGTCCAAACACGGGCAGATTAGGTGAATCGGTGTCTCTAACGTGCCTTTGGCCTGTGTGCCCTCTGGCATACTATCCAGCATATACCTACATCAGGGTAGGCAACCCTGATCCTGAAGTTCCAGTTCTCAGTAGGTTTTCTGTCCTACCTGGTTTCTGGTGAACCACACCTGATCTCAGACAGATAGTAACTCATCAGGTGGGATAGAAAATCTGCTGGATACCGGCACTGCAGGATCAGGGTTGCCTACCCCTGCACTATAGGGAGAAGTTCTAGGTTTACTATGATAAATCATTTCTAAACGTGAGCTGATACCCTATTCCTGCATACAGGCACTGAAAAATATACCTGAGAATCACTCAGCACTGCATATACTATATAATGCAGTTCATAACGAGAATCAAAATTGCTATTGCTATAAACTATTTTCAGACCACTGCCACAAAGATAAAGTTTTTTGTTTTATCAACATACACGCTGATGTGAAAGTCATTTTAAATGATGACGTGCCAAAATGCAGGGCTGAGGATGAGCCCCCCACTGTGAAAGGCTGAGGTTAAAGTTAAAGCTCCCCAGCCTGACGTGAAGCAGACTGCAGGCTCCAGCCACGGCCCAGTCCACATTCTGGGTCACCGAACTGGAGTGGGCTATTGGCATGGATGTGTGAGTTACTGACAGGTGACGTGTGGAAAATTTGGTATTTCGATGTGCAATGTGAGAAAGTGCAGCATAGAAATTCCAGAATTTTCTAGTGGAGTTTTTAGGCTTTTGCACAGCTGAACTTTGTAGACAACTAGGCCAGAAAGCAGAATTTACCTTCATAATGCAGCGTGAACATTGTCCAACCCCTTGATTAGGCATAACATCCAGATAAAGAGTAGGCTAGTATTCAGCCTGAAAGCAAGATCTGTAAATGTTTGTTGGTTTTGTCCTTTATGCAGTTAAGTTATTATAAGCATAGAATTAAGTGGGGTTTGAGCCAAGATCCCTGTTCCCTGAACTCAACAAGAACAATATGTTAATCTGTCTTTGGTTTTGTGCTTTGATAAGTATTTTTTGAACAGGGTATTCTGCTTTAGAAATATGCTGCAAGCCTGTTTTTTAATGTTCAGGGCATTAGTTAATGCAACATCCATTTAACTATATGTTAGCTATTGTTGCAAGTAAGGATCTTGAGTCTTAGTACACCATTTTTGCTTTCATTATTGCCGATTAACTTATTTGGTGTCATTCATGTTTGGTTAACTTACTTGATGGAATGACATTAATCAATAGATACACATTTGACAAAAAATGTTTCTAGCTTATTCTGGTTTATGTTCCTTTTGTTAAATGCACAAATCCTCACAAACCATTTTTAGATAAAGATTACAATAATATTATAATATAATAGGAAGACAGTAGAATTTATGGATTAATGATGGTATTGAACAGAATGGAATCCTTGGCTTCTCCTGAAATATATTTTGTTTTTAATTTAAAATTAGACTCAGTTGTCTTGACCATCGTGGAAGTGGTGTAAATTTGTTTTAAAATAATGGAAATATGCTTTTATCATTAATCAATATAAGCTAATTCGTGATTTTTTTTTTTCTTTGATATCGATTGTCAAGGAGGTTAAGATACTTTCATGATGCAGATTTGTTAATGTTGTGGTCCTTCTGTTTGGCTTAATGGAAAAAAACATCAAAAACCAGGCAAAAAAGCATGTCCTGATTTTAAAACAGAACGTTCCATTTTTGCCTGACTAAGCCCCCAGCACATGGTAAATCATACATAATCCTGCTGGATTTAAATCCTCAAAACAGCATCATTATATATATATATATATTCTCTCCAAACTGCATGCTACAGTACCACAAAGACCCTTCAGATTTCAGCTTACATGTGATTTGTAATACAAAAGAAGGCTGCATTACACTATGTACAGTAAAGGCAGTGACACCTGTGGCATACATACGAGCAGTAAAAGTCTTAAAGACTTAAAGGGACAACAAAAGTGTCAGACTTCAGATAGGCTCACAAGTCTCATGTTGAAAATCTGGTGCCTGTTTGTCACACTTAATTTTTGGCCTGCTATAAAAGTTATAACATCATAAGGGGTAGTATAGAATTTATCATTGTGTTCCAGGCCAGTTTTGTGTCAGTTTCAGGTTCTCATCTGATGTAATTATTTGTCTCATAACAAGTGTCACCAAGTAAAAATATAAATATTTCACCAATTGCCTCAGGTCTGGGTAATTGGCACTGCTCCATTATGTTTGTAAATACAGTTTCCTTCAGGCTACTTGAGTGCAGGGGGAATTCAGATTCCAAATCTCGCCCTTGGAAACTATTGTAAATTCCATGGAAAAAAAATTGGAAAGCCCTACTGACATTTTTGTAAGTCACAATGGAAAGTTTTCTGTTCTGTATTTGTAGATCGTAGGACAGATGTAGGACACTAAACAGGGGTCCCTTCCAACACCAACACTCACTGGCTTACCAGTGTCCTGTTAAAATCCAGATATCTGAGTCATTTGGGAGCTGGTCAATCTGAGACAGTGACCTTAAACATTAAGAACAGTATTTTGACAGGAACTTTTCTGGTCTTAGATTGAACGTTTTTCCTCCATCAGCTTACTTGCTTCATATCTTTTTGATGAATGTGAATATTTTTTCTCTCTGTTTCCACAGAGACATTTTATTTTGGTTTCATCAGCAGCCACCATAAGGTATCACTCGACCTGTCTTTACTATTCACAAGCTCATTCTTAATAGAATATTGTCTGCTAATTATCACTAATTAATCTGCTATTTAATTTTCTCTGGCTATCAGCAACTTTCTTAGAGAGAATTTTTAAAAAAAAGACTGGCCTCAAACTCCTCCCTGGAAGGCCCTATTTGAGGTTGGGGTGGGGTCTCCTCCAACTTACATTGAGGTTTGTACAATCACACCCAGAGACTTTCACTCTCATAGAACATAAGAACATAAGAACTATACAAACGAGAGGAGGCCATTTGGCCCATCGAGCTCGCTTGGGGAGAACTTAATTGATAGCTCAGAGTTGTTAAAATCTTATCTAGCTCTGATTTAAAGGAACCCAAGGATTCAGCTTGCACTACGTTATCAAGAAGACTATTCCATACTCTGACTACACGCTGTGTAAAGAAGTGCTTCCTTAAATCCAGTTTGAAATGTTCTCCCGCTAATTTCCACCTACAGTATAGATGAAGAACCTGACTGTTTAGTATCAAACAATTATCATCATCCTATGTACATCACACAGTCTATTTTGGATTCCCTCACAATTTCACAGGGGAAAGAAGAGTTTTATATGCCAATTTTTAACAAGGCAAGAGAACTCTCTAACAATGAAAACATTTCACATGTTCTGTTGCAGGATCTTGAGCTTGTCTTACTAAATCCACTGAAAACAAAATCTTTCATTGGCAGCATCTGAGCAACAAATCCCCTCCTCTCCCAATTTGTCCATCACCGAGAGATTTCATAAGGAATGCCGGTGTCTTTTAGGGAGAGGTCAGGAAGCAACATGAAGCCAGATAAGAGGGTTCAGTCAGGCAATGGCAATGGCCCTACAGCCAGCTGCCGAAAGGGCGCTCAATCCAACCAACTGCTGTCCGAAGACCTGGGGGCACATTGCTTTTAAACCTTCATTTCTGACTCCTAGGCCTTTTGCTGTCTGGATAGAATGCAGAGTCAACCACCATGTTCAAAGGCCTTTCTGTCTGTAGGCCTTACCCCCCACCAAAACCCTGTCCAGCACCCCCATCCATAGCGCAACTTGTCCTTTAAAAGGCTCTGATAACAGCCACCTGACCACCTTACTGGAACAGCCGAGGGCTTTGAGGATCAGTGTGGTGGGAAACTGGCCACATTCCTGCCTTCAAAGGTGACATTTCCAAGCGCACGAACAGACAGGGGGGGGGGGGGGTCAGAACCAGGGAGAGGGGTTTGGGGAACGCAGGGCAGGGGTCTGACCTTTCCTAACCTTAAGAGAATAGGATTTATCCACCTCCGCTCCCAAACCCCACATTGTGCTGCTTCCCTGGCTCTAATCTGGATTCTGAGGGTTCCCTCCAACTTCAAAGGTTCTCCCCAGAGACCGGCGGAGTCCCCACATCTGACGGTTGTGACTATTTTGAGATATTTCGATGTCCCTCTTCCAGTGCTGGCAGGAGGAGAGGGATGGTGAATAGAAAGGCTGGCCAGGAGTATCTTTTTATTGCACATGCTTATATATACAAAACAGACCATTTTGTAGTTTTAGTGGTAACTCGTCTGTTTCTGCCAATGTAGTAAGTTGGTGCCTCATTAACAGGTACAATTACAGCTATATCAAAAGTCATTGAAAATCAGTTTTCCCAGAGGGTGAAGGTAAATACAAAGGAGGGAGACAAGGATATTGAATATTAGAAGTAAGATATGTTTGATATGAAAAACTAAGAGGTATTGAATGTCAGAGGTTTTTAAACCCCAGTACAGTCACTGAAATGTACAGTAAAATTAAATGGTCTTTGGCAAAGACTCAAAGACGCACAATCAGAACAGGAATCACATTTATTTTCTAGTTGTCTCCAAGCGAAACATGACTGAAAGTGTAGACAGCCTCGGGTAACTTTAACAAAAACATGGCATCCAGGCACTAAAATGCAGAGAGGATTCTTTTTACATGCGACTAGCTATCCTCGCCAACCTCGCCTCGTTTGACACATCACTACATCTGTATTTCATCTGAAAAAAATGTCAGCTGTACAAGGAATGGCAGCAAGTCGCTGCCAAGGAAGAAGAACTTGAGTCATTTAAAGAAACCCTGCACATTAGTTTGTGGTAATGCTGCTGTAATTGCACTGAGTCACAGGTAAGTATTCAGAAGAACAAGCAGAATCCATGTGACCTGTGAAGCCTTGGCCTACTACATTTTGCCTTGGAATTTGTGGACATTAGATGAGGGTTTATATCTGTACTCAGATCAGAGAATCCTTTCAAAATGACTGTATTCTGCTCAAAATCCCTGACTAATTAGGTACAAGGTAGACAGACACCATTTCTGCCACATAAATCATTTTATACATTTACTATCTTTATAATGTTATGAATGAAGTTAATTTCTTATTTTTGTTATAGATATTAATAGTGTAGTTTTGATATGAAAAACACTGGTAATTTTTCACCTTCATTAATATCAATTATTATATGACTTGCTGATCCCTGATTATTCTCCAAATCTATCGGCATCTAAACCAAGTTTGCTCGCAAATTGAGATACATCATAAGACCAATTTCAACTATAAATCCTGTCCATTCATGTATGGAGAATGTCTGTAGTTGCCCATGGCAGAGTCTGGGTCCTGGTGGGTCCCATTTGTGTTTGCTGATTTATGAGCCCTGTGGGCAAAGAACAGGACGCTTGTACAGTGTGATATATTCTGTTCAGAATCAGACGGTCTCCCAGTCCAGGTTTCCTACAGACTGACACATTCATTATTTGATCAGATCCATTCAGTATAACAAGCACTATGGATAACAGAACATTTCTTCGATTGTCTTCAACTTGACAGCCAATTGTACTGTTTTCTTCTTTTTTTAATAGTGTTGAGAAACTGTTTGTGATCAGTTGTCAGACCCTGGAAAACATCTGGACTCAAACGGGCCATGTTTCACTGCAGTCAGCTTGGACACATTTTGTTTAGAATTTTTTTAATCACTTAAAAACTGTAGCTTTTTAAAAGAGTATACTTATACTACGTGAGCTTATGCAAGAGGTAAAGTTAATTTTACTTTCTATTTGATTTCCAAAAATAAAATACATCCATTTTTAAGCAATGCTGTGCTAAAACAAACTAAAACTGGCCCTTGTTCTTTGTTTGCCTTTGAGTTTTGTTTGTTTGTTTTGAATGGTCATCAGTATGACAAACAGAGGCGTGTAGAAACTCGAAAATCAGCACAGCTTGTGGACGGAAGGACGTTTCACAAACCTGTATATCATTATAAATGCTGCCGGTCCCCCTGCAGCCTATTATCATTGTAACCCACAGTTACCTGACTCTAAATTTGTTGACCTTGACACAACTTAATTAGAAATCCATATCTTTCCCAAAGCCCATCGATGTCCCTTCTGTGCAACATAGGCTATATATGCAGGTTCAGTCAGATTTCTGCAACATCATAAACCTGCACAACTGACACCACGGATTCAAGTCATTATAGGACCACTGTAATTCATGTGAAATCATATTTATATAATTATCCATTACAGGGGCAGTCTAGTCACAGCTGAGCTGTGTTCATTCAGGGAATCTAAGCTGAGCTGGATGTGCCTGCATCGGTGGGCTGCCGGATGTCCACGGCACTGTCTGGTACACGAACTGTTATTCCTTCCAGGGACTTCGTGAGGCAGATCTGGCAACCAAGACGAGACCTGGCAAGAGAGAGGAACTATGCTTATAAAACATTGGGAGTCATGGGAAGCACCAGCTTTATAAATTAAACAAATAAACCTTTTTTTGCTCAGTCTACTCTTCTGTCATCTTATTACAGTAATAAGGACTCATGAAGACATAAGGAATTATAAACCAGTGAGGACAATGCTAAGCGTGACATGTGCTCTGGTCATTTGAAACAGTGCAGTTACACACTAAGTCTCAGAAAATTCCAAAGCAGCAATCCATGATAGTGTCAGGCGGTAGCTAAAGCTCAATAAAACATAGCTATACACAATAAGAAACAAATTTACATCCAAACAGAAGAAAACATCACCTATCCAATGCATCACAATGTAAGTCAACTCCTTTGCTTACAATAATCCGATAATCCACTTATGACAGGTTACTTAAGGATCCATAATCAGATTTGACAAACTGTTTTGCACCTGGAGTCCGTGGTTGTTCAGTGATGTTGCTTTTGAAACCAAAGCTATTGTCGGCACAGTCACGTGTTATCAGCAGCTACTACTCACGTATCGGTCAGCCCATAGGCCAGATCCAGCATGTCCATCTCCTCATCTGTGATTGGCCCAAGCTTGTTGTAGACATCCTCCTCGAAGATCAGGTGACAAGTGGAACAAGCCAGAGTTCCCTCACAGGCACCTGGTGACAACACAGCATAGCATGCTATTTATGGAGAAACCCTTGGAGCCCAAAATCCTGCCATCCTAAGCCCCGCTCACCCGCTCTCCAGAACAGCGCCGCACTTACAAAGAAATCAGCATCTCCTGTTCCTCCGTTTAACCATTTTTGTTGGAAGCATCACATCACAGTACTCAACATATTGCAGTATGTAAAGATTTTAGTCCCTCCATGCAATATTCCATGATGCTCCTATTGTGCAGTCTTAAATCCTCATCATCTGGGAAAAGGTATTTAATTTTCACTAAATCAACCACCATTAGTGAACCAACCTTGCCCATTCCACTGTTAACTGGATAAGGTGAGTAATAGGGTGAGTTTTTTTAAAAAACTATTGCTATATACTGTATGTGTTTTTTGTTTTTAATTATATGAAATATATTTCAAAACTTGCACAGATATCACATGACAGCTGCTAACGTGAAAGTGGATTCAGACTAATTGGTGGACAGGTATGCAATCTAGGGGAGACAAATCAGGGATTAGCAACACAAAGTACAGACACATTGCTGAGACAACCCTGTTTTTGGAGGTATCGAGTTAGGGAGAGGGTTCACATACAGGTTACCAAGCAAGGGGCACATGTGGCATAACCTCAGCTCAACAGTCCACCTTGGCTGTGATTCATAACCCAAGACGCCCTCTAGACTATAGTCAATGGAGGGTAAATGCACTTTGCACTCGGTTACAGTGATTTGATTTGGATCTCAGGTCATGGTTATGTAACAGTGTTTTTTGTTTTTGTGCAGCATCACTCAGCTCAAAAGATTCAGTAACAGGGACGTTTTTTGTATCAGCTGGGATTGAGCAATAAATTTCAATTCAAGACCATTATACTACTTCATTGTGAAATTACATCTGTAATAGGATATACAGGGACTGCAAGGAGAAAACAAGAAGACCTCAGCTCACCAGAGCAAGACAACATGACTTTGAAAATGACTTGCTCTTTAATGCCTGCTAGACAAAACTGAGCCTCTGATGCAGGATTCCTGCTAGGAAATAATCAAATCAAGCTGGGGAAGCCCATCTCCGATTCCCTGATCATAAGCACTGGTTCCCTGCAAGGCTGCATCCTGTCGCCCCTGCTGTTCTCCCCTGCACACAACCAGCCATGATTCCGTCAAGCTCCATCACTGGACTCATCTCTGATAGGGATGAATCTATCTAGAGGAGAGAAATTCATCATCTGGTGATCTGGTGCAGCCAGAATAATCTGGAGTTCAATACTTTAAAGACAGTAGAGATGGTAGTGGACTTCAGGCGCAACCCAGTTCCACTCTGCATCACTCTTCACGAATCCCTGGTCAACACAGCGGAGTCCTTCCATTTCCTGGGCATCATCATCTCCCAGGATCTCAGGTGGCATCTGAACATCAGCTCGATCATCAAAAAGGCCCACCAAAGGACACACTTCCTACGGCAGCTGAAGAAGTTCAGTCTGCCAAGGAAAATAATGGTGTACTTCTACACAGCCATCATCAAGTCCATCCTCGCCTGCTCCATTACCATCTGGTATGCTGCTGCCACTGCCAAGGACAAGGGCAGACTGCAGCGCATCATCTACTTTGCAAAGAAGGTGATTGGCTGCAATCTCCTATCCCTTCAGGACCTACACGCCTCCAGAACCCTGACGCAGGCAGGAAAGCTTATGGCTGATTCCTCCCATCCTGGACATGGACTGTTCAAAAAACTACCCTCCAGCAAGAGACTCGGATCTATCAAGACCAAAACTACAGGCCACAAAACAGCTTCTTCCCTTCAGCAGTGCCTCTGTCACTCCACCACTCACTCTGCACACATCTTTGTACATCTTTTTCATCTATTGGACATCATATGTTTTCGTGCTTTTATATTCCAATATTTGGAGCAGCATGGTGGTGGAGTGGTTAGCAATGTCATCATGGGGTTTCCTCCAGGTACTCTGGTCCCCCCGCCCCTCAGTCAAAAAATAAGATGAGGTTAACTGGAGCTCCCAAATTGCCCATGTATGAGCAAATGGTGTGTGAGTGTGCCCTGCAATGGGTTGGCGCCCCATCCGGGGTTATTCCTTGCCTTGCACCAATGGCCTCTGGGCTACAGACCCCCTGCAACCCTGAATAGGACAAACGGTTACAGAAAATGAATGGATGGATATTCAATATACCTCTGATCCCTTTAATGTCCGTCCATCCATCCATCCATCCATCTCCTACCGCTTTTCCGGGTTGGGTTGCGGGGGCAGCAGTCTAAGCAGGGAAACCCAGACTTCCCTCTCCCCAGCCACTTAGTCTAGCACTTCCAGGGGAATCCCGAGGCGTTCCCAGCCCAGCCGAGAGACATGGTCTCTCCAGCGAGCCCTGGGTCTTCCCCGGGGCCTCCTCCCAGTGGGACATGCCCAGAACACCTCACCAGGGAGGCGTCCAGGAGGCATCCTGAGCAGATGCCCGAACCACCTCATCTGGCTCCTCTCGATGCGGCTCTACTCTCCCAAATGACCGAGCTCCTCACCCTATCTCTAAGGGAGAGCCCAGCCACCCTGTGGAGGAAACTCATTTTGGCCGCTTGTATTCGCGACCTCGTTCTTTCGGTCACTACCCACAGCTCATGACCAAAGGTGAGGGTAGGAACGTAGATCGACTGGTAAATCGAGAGCTTTGCCTTTTGGCTCAGCTCCTTCTTCACCATGACAGACTGATGCAGCGCCCGCATGACTGCAGATGCCGCACCGATCCGCCTGTCGATCTCCCGCTCCATCCTTCCCTCACTCGTGAACAAGACCCCGAGACTCCCTCTCAGACCCAGAGAGAGCACTCCACCCTTTTCCGGCTGAGGACCATGGTCTCGGATTTGGAGGTGCTGATTTTCATCCCAGCCACTTTACACTCGGCTGCAAACTGCTCCAGTGAGAGCCGAAGGTCACGGTCCGATGAAGCCAACAGAACCACATAATCTGCAAAAAGCAGAGACCCAATCCTGAGGTCACCAAAATGGACACCCTCAACGCCCTGGCTGCGCCTAGAAATTCTGTCCATAAAAGCTATGAACAGAATCGGTGACAAAGGGCAGTCCTGGTGGAGTCCAACCCTCACCAGGAAGTCCACAAAGCAAATGTAGACTGGTTGGGCAAATCTCACGCACCATCCAGGACCCTGCCGAGAGTATAGAGCTGGTCCACTGTTCCACAGCCAAGACGAAAACCACACTGCTCCTCCTGAATCCGAGGTTCGACTATCCGACGGACCCTCCTCTCCAGGACCCCTGAATAGACCTTACCAGGGAGGCTGAGGAGTGTGATCCCCCTATAGTTGGAGCACACCCTCTGGTCCCCCTTCTTAAAGAGGGGGACCACCACCCCGGTCTGCCAGTCTAGAGGCACTGCCCCCGATGTCCACGTGATGCTGCAGATGCGAGTCAACCAAGACAGCCCCGCAACATCCACCAGTTCAGGCTCCTTCCCCGCCAGAGAGATGACATTCCATGTCCCTAGAGCCAGCTTCTGCAGCCAAGGATCGGCCCACCAAGATCCCCACCTTCGGCCACTGCCCAACTCACACTGCACCAGACCCCTTTGGTCCCTCCTACAGGTGGTGAACCCATTGGAGGGGGGACCCTCGTGCCTTCTTCGGGCTGTGCCCGACCAGGCCCCATGGGTGCAGGCCTGGCTACCAGGCGCTCGCTATCGAGCTCCACCCCCAGGCCTGGCTCCAGGTGGGGGTCCAGTGACCCGCATCTGGGCAAGGAAAAATGTGAATCCATGTTTTTACTCATCATAAGGGGTCTAATGAGCCGCACTTCGTCTGGTTCCTCACCCAGGACCTGTTTGCCTTGGGTGACCCTACCAGGGGCATAAAGCCCCGGGCAACTTAGCTCCTGGGATCATTGGAACACGCAAACCCCTCCACCACGATAAGGTGTCGGCTCCATAATTATATAATTAATTATAATTATTCTTAATATATTGCACAGCTTGCACTGCTCTGCACTATTTTATTCCTTTATTCTAATACTTTATTTCTACTTATCTATTTTTCTTAATTTATGTTCTGTGAATGTAAGCACCAATAAAGCCAAAACAAATTCTTAGTACATGCAGTTGTACCTGGCCGAAAGAGTGAATTCTGATTCTGATTATGAAATATCTGGCTCACTTCGTAATGGTTCAAACCCAGGTCCAAATGAAGAAAATCAGGGAAGAACACAACTGAACACCTCTGATTAATCAGAAAAATCACCCAGGAAGCCACCATAGTCCAAGGAGCTGATCTACTCAGCAAAAGATACAAACCATTTTTAAATATGACTCATACATATAGTCTAATTTGACCCAAAAAAGGACAAGTGTATTGAACGGAAGTAGTCTTTGGATAATAAAAGCACCTGCCCCGCTTACTACGTTTTCTTGATATTTTTCAACTGGGGGGGAGGACGACGACATGGTAATAGTTACTTATTATCTACCAAGAGAATTGGTCAAATAAGCTGGTGGCATTGCCACGTGTTGTGCAGACACAAATCAGTGCCGACAAATGACTTGTTTTTGCTAAATATCGTCTCCAATCGAATCCAAATAATTTCCATACAGTGGAACACAAATGTCTTTTGGTTGCTTTTCTCCTTCTCACTGACTTTTGCTAAATTTCTCACAAACAGCAATAATAAAAATAACTATGAACTTATGCAAATGCAGTGGTGGTAAACTTTACATTGATTTTTTAACATACACTAGATAAACTTGAAAAGGAATAATCCTTAAAATTGCAAAGCTTGCCAAGTTCTTTTGTATGACAGAGTAAAAATGTTTTAGCAAAACTAATCAATGGTCTTAAACCAGCTGACTATCACAGTCCTTGCAATGTGACAAATGCACGTGCATAACATGCAATGTTGATATTAAAAACACACAGCAGAGAGGCCTGCTTTTGAACTGTCCTCTAGATATGAAACCTGCAGGGGATCCATGTATTTTCCCAACCTTGTCTCCCAAAACCCTGCAGTTAATATGAAGGCAAAATGAGCCGCACTTCGTCTGGTTCCTCACCCAGGCCTTAAATTCAAGTGCCTGAATTATCCTAGAAAAGTTACCAGCATTTAAACTGGTACAAAGTTAGATAAATAGTCAAATGCTGGAAATTCTGTAATACTGAATGAAAGTCAAATGAATTTTTACCGATATCCTGGAACATCTAAGGAAACATTCTGCCTGTCCCAACTCTGAATGTCACACGTCACCATACCGAGGCAGGAAGTGCCCCCCCACCAAGCAGAGCGGGCTTTCACTTTTCCAGTGTCACCTTCAGGCTACACAGACCACACGGTAACATTAGGACATTCCATTCACATTCAATGCCCAACACTCTCAGTTTGTGAGAGTCCTTTAATAGCATGGAAGTATGGGAAGCAGAATTTGCTTCTCTGGGGATCTCTGAGCTTTACCTAAGAGGTGCTTGGCCTTAATATTTCCATTCAACAGTGCGGCATTTTATTTTAACCTTAAGCTAAAAACAAAAAGCAAAATGTGAGCTCAAAGCATGCATGCATTAGTGTGCATATATTTGTGCATGTGTGTGCGTGTGAAGAGGTGACTCACCAAATCCATCAATGTCTAAGTTCTGTTCAATGACAACGTCAAGTAGAGAGTCACCAGGAGCCGCTTTCACAGTTATCTTCTGTCCATCGCGATTGATAAAATTGACTGTCACCTTGTTTTCTGACCTGTATTAGAAAACATAAAAACATCAAGTATTATTTATACACTAGTAAGCTTATTTTCTAGTTTCCCTTTGCATAGTTGTTAAAAATTGTTACAAATTACCATAAATGAGGGACAGTTATATGATTTCTCCAGTGTAAATGATCTTTACATGGTCGATATATTCGCAAACTGGCATCAGCTAGCAAATGTTCACATTGGAAAAAGCCAGTGCCAATTCCATCCATACATCTTTCAATCACAAAAGTAATAAAAAATCTGAATATTTTTTGTTACTTTTCTCTCAAAAAATCTTCCCTATCTTAATGGCACAATACCCTCTTAGGGATCAAAGTTTGCCTTCAATTGTTTTAAAATTCAAGGAAAGTTGGTGTTTGATGCCCTCTAGTGTCAATATCGTGGGTTTGGGGAGATGGGGGTTCGGAGCTGATTTGGTCCCTACAAATGTTGAAATCAACCCTACACCCTTGGATGGATGTATATTTTACGATTATTTGTTAGCCTGTGAAAACCGTTTCATGTAATATGCAAGTATCAGGCCATTTCCTAACGTTTACACATATTCTGCAATTTTCACTGAAAATCCATTACGGTGTTAATAACAATACGCTGCATAAGTCTAATTTTGAAATAAATCAAAATTTTTAATAAAAATACATTTAGAAATTGTTGAAAATAAATATATTCATTAAACAACAATATTTTGGATTTCATAAACAAACCCAATTTTGTACAAAATTCATTTGTCTGAGGCTGATTTTCATTACCATAGCCTTTCCAAATACTTCTTCCAAGACTACATTAATGCTGTAAATAGAGTTTGTCTACCCAAAATGCAACACACAGCACAAAGAAAGGAAGATTAAAGAGGCACAAGATATGGCTCTCCTTATGTTAAAATTCTATAGATGCTTCATGGTTTGAACCTCCTTCAGTCCACACTTTAGAAACCCATTACTACAAGCGATTATTATGTAAATATTATAAGTTATCAATACAATATTTTACAGAAGAATGAGACATTTCGTATCATATGTTGAGCAAAGTGTTTGTATCTCTATTATATATTCTTTCAATTTTATTTGCCTTAAATATAAACAGCAAAAAAAGGGCCTTTTGAAAATGGCTGCACAACTGAAAACAGAAAAGCTGGAGAGAAAATACATACGTGTAACAGAAGAAAAGACAGCAAGCATTACTCAGTCTCACTCCACCATTTGAGGGAAATCACTAGCACAGATCAAGCAACATACAACCACAGCAAGAAATGATAAGTTCCTCTGCCTCAACACCCATATTTAGAAGAATCCCATATCTAAACTAAGGGCCCAAAACAGATTAAATACCGTGCTGCAATGTTCATTGCTTTGATGTCACTATTTTAAAGAGGCTAGCTATCCAAACAGCTAAACACTGTTCCAGAAACTTCACCAGCTCAGAACTGTTGAGGCACAACACTGCTGGTAGGTAATCCTCTGCAACTACTTGAACATCTTTTCTTTTTGAGTCAACAGGAAGTGAGGAGAAGTGTAAAATTAAAATGTTCCAATCCTAACATACATGAGGTGGCGGTGTCATATAATAGATCAACACACTCATTACTCATAACTTACAGAAAACATAACATTCATTACTGTTAGTGTATGAATCATCCTCTAACACATAATTCATTACCATAATATATTCATTTTGTCTATTTTTTAATTGGTTCGAATACTGACAAATTATGCAACTCTATTGTTTAAACTGTTGAATTTGCCTTTGTGATAGCTATTCAGTTTCATTATACAGTGGTACCTCGGTTCTCGAACTTAATCCATTCCGGACTCCGGATCGAATCCTAAAAAGTTCGAGTTCTGATCGTATTTTTCCCATAAGAAATAATGGAAAACCAATTCATTGGTTCCCGGCCCCCCAAAATTACACCTAAGTATTTTTTTTTTTATAGCATTTAGACACAAAATGAACAGGATATAACAAGAAGAGCATTTGTCTTCTTAATGGCTTCCAAAACGATAAAGATCTTATCCCAACATTACCCCTGTTCTGCCCCGTTCGTCCGCTCCTTCCGTGTGCCACGCCCCTCGTTAACCTTGTGTGGGATCCCCATGTGATCAGCTGTTTCTGGTTGTTGTCATTAGTCCTCTGTATTAAGTCCGCGTTTCAGTTTGTTTCCCCAGTCCGGTCATTGGGTGCGTTCGACTTGCTTACAGCGCTGGCTTAAAGCAACGCATTCTGATCCTGACGCAATGCATTACGGTTAGATGCATTGCAACCTCTCACCTGGCTGCACAAACTGTAACCGCCTCCGTGACGACACACCTTTGCACTTATTGGCTGAAGAGTTTAGTTACAAGCATGACGTTTGTATCCCAGGCAGTTCCGATGCGTAATCTAATTCTCCCGAATATCACGTAAAGCAGTGAGAACTGGTTTTCAGTTAATTTACCTGGTAAAATAAAGTTTAAATAAATGACATAAATGCTCTAATAGTACACGTAAGTTAGTGGTTTATTTATTGTTAGTTACTGTAATGTTGCGCTGCTTTATTTGGTTAATCGTCCAGTCTGTGAAGGCATTCAAGTAAGAATTGCATTGTAGTATGACTCATTTCCTGGCACGTACAATTTATATTAGGTCAGCATTCACGGTTCGACTTCTGATATTCAGATCGAGTTCTAGGTCAAACTGGTTTGTTCGACTTTCAAGAAATTCGAGTTCTAATGAGTTAGAGAACCGAGGTACCACTGTATTACCATTTATTTCTATACTTAAAAACATTTAATCAAAGTCCAGGGCAAGAGTAACAGATTTAAAAAATGACAAAATTAACAAACTGAACTAAATTCCCAAACACGAACCATTGAAAGAACAGATTAAATGTTAGTGTAACCAGTAAAAAAGAGTAACCAGTAAATGATTTGGAATCCAGTGTTGTCACTGGTAACATTTCTCCATGATGCCCGCCACACCAAAATCTTAGTCGCCACAGAAGAAAAAAAAAAAAAAACATGTATCCAACCAATCATCTAATCCAACACCATGGTGATGGGCAATCTGGTCAGAAGAACAGATACAACAAAAAGATCAGGATCACATGACCAGAAATTTAAAAAGTATTTTGTTTAATATACTAGGACAGCACACTGTATGCGATTTTGTTGTGACAAAACACTGGGGTAATTATAAAGCCAAAAGAATTTCTCACAAACCCGTCTAGGAATGATTTAAACAGCAATGATGAAGATGATTATGATTGTCTCAGAGAACACATGCAGCGCTTATGCAAAAGCAGCATATTCGTGAGCTCTGGGTAGTGATCGAAAGAATGAGATCGTGGATACAAGTGGCCGAAATGAGCTTCCTCCGCAGGGTGGCTGGGCTCAGCCTTAGAGAGGGTGAGGAGCTCACACATTCGGGAGAAGCTCAAAGTAGAGCCGCTGCTCCTCCGCATCAAAAGGAGCCAGTTGAGGTGGTTCAGGCATCTATCTAGGACACCTCCCGGATGGCTCCCTGGGGAGGTGTTTCGGGGCATGTCCAACTGGGAGAGGGCCCATGGCAGAACCAGGACACGCTGGACAGATTATATCTCTCGGCTGGCTTGGGAACGCCTTGGTATCCCCCCAGAAGAGCTGGAGGATGTGGCTGGTGAGTGGGACGTCTGGCCATCCTTGCTTAGACTGCTGCCCCCATTAATCGACCCCGGATAAGCGGTGGAAAATGGATGGATGGATTTCAAAATATGTGGAACGCCATAATACTGCCTAAGTCTTGACTAATAACTTGTAAACTGTTCATAATAGTTTACCTGTTTCACTACAATGCTTGTATTTGTGTTTGTTACAATACATCTGCCCTCTTCTGGTCATGGTGGAATATCACTGCTGAATGCATGCATACACCGACCACAACCATCCGTATTCACTGCCGTACGGACGACCATCCCCAGCCGGGGAAGGGAACTAAAGCGAATGCGGAAAAGTAAAGTATGAACTAGGCTTTTAGGCTGTGTGCACTGCAGAGGCTGTTGTTATGATGCTGCATGAAGCACTAGAGAGCAGCAAACTGTTGAGGACTTAATTTAGAAATGGCTAAAAAGAAAAATATATTACTGTCACTGATAATTAACTAGCTTAAATTTGAATTAATTATTAAGTATTTGTTTTGCTTCATGCCATCAATAAACAATAATATATAAAAGACATGTACAACAACGGTCTGACGGCGACCACCCCCAACGGCATTTTTTACATTAGTGCCACCTCCCCCTCCCCATCACATTGCCCCCATTCCAAACCTCTTCATCCACAGGAAACACTTTTTAAAAATAGCTGCAGATTTTTTTTTTTTACTCATTTTTAATCTGTCCCTGGCTACAAATAAATATCCTAATGAATGAAAGACTGCTTATGTTGTGCCCCTGGTAAAGGGATCCTGCAACAATGCTGAACAATTTTAGCCCAACAAGCGTTCTGACTCTCTGACAAGCATAGAGCTGCAGCAGTATTTGAACAGAAGCAGCAAGTGGCTCTGTGGGTTAGGACTCAGTGTACCTGTCATCAGATGGTCAATGGTGGCTGGAAGAGTAAGTTCACCATTAGACGGTTGAGCAAGGTCCTCAACTGCAATTGCTTTAGGGGCACTGACTGACCCTGACCTGTGATCCTCATGTGTAGGTGGCCTTGAAAAAAGGTTTCTGCTAAGTAAATAAATGTGATGTAATGACATTCAATCAAAATATTGGTCAGGGTTCAGAAAAGAAAAAAAATCAGTGTTATAGTCATTATTTCCATTAAACTTGCAAATGACGTCAAAGTTTTAGTTAATAAGAAACATCTTTGCTCTCATTTTTATTTTCTAGAGCCTTTCATAGTGTCTATCATAAGAATACTTCCTTAAAATGAAGAGCCTTTTATGATACTGCAGTGGATTGGTCTTACAGATAACATTAAGGCCATCCTGAAGGTCTTACATCTGAGATGTTACCAGTTTGTAAGGTTATCCAGCAGGGATCACTTACAGGTCAGAATTAATCTACTATATATAAATCAACAGGGATAAAACTTTTTATGTTGATGATGCTGTTATAAATTGCAGTTCACTTAATAAGGCCTTTGACTATCTGTTTTTAATCGTAAAAATGCAGTTTTGCCATATAAAGCTTGACCTGAATGAAGGAGAAACAGAAAAACAAACTTAAGGCTGTTTCCAATATTAAGGGAATTATATCAGTGTATTGTTATTACCAGAACAATGAATTAAGGTAGTTTAAAAATCCTAAATACTAAACCGATAACCAGCTTTTCTTTAAGCTCCATATACTGTACAGAACTTTGTGCAAAGGTTGTAAGTGAAGCAGTTTTTTCTATTATTATTATCTTAAGAACAAAATGTTACTTCTTGTTTTATGTAAAACTAAATCTTTTTGAAGCCACATGTTTAACGGTCATTGATTACGGTGATAAGAATGCATCAGCTCATTGTCTTCAAACACTGGATATTATTCATTGTGGAACCTTAAGGTTCAGTACTAATTGCAGATCCTACATACATAGTACATTGTATTCTACAGTTAGTTGGCCTTGTCTCTGTAATTCTCTGAATTATTTGGACATTTATTTTTCTGTGCTTTCATTTTTACAGTGTGTGGTTCCGTGGGCTAAGCCTATGTGCCTGTTATCAGAAGGCTGGCTCAAGCCCAGCCTTGGCACATCTGCGAGTCCTTAAGTAAGGCCCTTAACCCCCAGCTCCCTGGGCACCACAACAGGTGACTGCTCTTTGTGGCCAGCTTGCTCTCACCTAAAGACAGCAAGTTGGGGGAGGCGTAAAAAGAATTTCTCCATGGGGATCAATAATGTATCAATTATATTTTTAGCTTAGTTGTTGTCTTAGAACTTTTATCCTGTGTTGATTTTGTAGTGTTGACCTTCTGTTATTCTGTCAGTTTTTTTTTACATCCAGTTCTGTCTATTGCCTGTCTTGATCAGGTCTCACTTATAAAAACTTTGTTAATCGGACTAAGCTGGTTAAACAAAGAAATCAATCATAAAGTAATCAGAAAAATAAATATTGAATTGCTTGTCAAAGGCAAGATTCAGGAATATTCATTGTATATGTTTGACTGTTCCAACTCAGCTATTATGCATTTGATTAACTAATTAAATTAATTAAACACCATATAGAAAACATCCAGTCTCAGTAACCATCTCATGTGGAGTCTTAAAGTAACACGCATCTTCTTCGTAGAAACAAGCAATTACATTTTGTATATGCGCTGCAATTCGAATGTTCAAGAGCCTATGAAAAATGTAAACGACTGGTATTACCAAACTTAATTAAATCCAGACAAATGAAGCAGCTATCACAACGCAGACATCTCAAGAATGACTCACAAATCTAATACTGTTCTCACAAACCACTAAATGCCAACAATGCTTGCTAATCCAAATTTAAGCTTCCTATAACTTCACTATGTTACACGAACGGACAAATAATGCCCGCCCATTGAGTCAAAGTGCATTTCCTGAAGTAGATGAAAGTTGAATTTCCAAAGTTATTTAACTGTCTCTGTTATTTGCCACCGTCGTAGCATAACACACTATGATTAATGTCTTGATGGAACTTAAAATTTAACTAAGTTTACCATCCCGATCTACACCGGTCTTGTAAAGTGAATTAACTAGCTGTCTCTTTCAACCATTTTACTAAGTGGACAGTGGAGACTATTTACTAAATTTTAAAATAATAGCTCATGTTTTTACTCGTGCTGACACTTGGCATCGTTACATACCGCATATTAATGGAATGTACTAGGACACACTGTAACGTTACGTTTTAACGGTAGTTACCGACTACTAATGGAAGCTGGCTTGTAAAATGTGAAAGACAGCTATGAAGAATCTTGAACAGATTTTGATGAACTATTTTTAATATGAGTTAAAACATGTAAAATATCCCTATCGACTAAATCTACTACTCGCGGCACTAAAAGTGTGTAGCCGCTTGCCTGAAACCAAGACCGAGGATTGCGTACCTCAGTATCCGGGTGAAGGAGCTGAAGCGTCGGTTATTAGTGTAGGCCGTTTGTCGGTCCCGTGCAGCCGGTGACGGAGAAAAATGCAAACCGAAAGCTAAAAAATTACAGCTCGATGGTATAAAACTCTGCGAGACAGCAACCAGCGTCCGACGTATGCATGCCGATGACATTTTTAGGCTTAAGAAACTAAATAATGTTTTAGTGCCCGAGTCGCAGTGTCCCCAAACGCAAATGTAGTACTGCTTATTCATGCGCTGTGTGCCACTTGCCCTTCATTCTTCGCTTCCTAGTATGTTGCGTAACGCCGTGTAAAGTACAGATTACCGAGATTGGCTATACATTTCCATTTTAAACGCACCAAAACTCATTAACAAAATAAGCAGTAATTATGTATTATTAATGTTGTATTGTTGATACTATACGGGATCAAAATGTTAGATGCCCATTTGACTAGTTACAGTAACCGGTTGATTTGTAATTTTGTGGAAAAGGAGGTTAAAGCAGTGGTTTCTAACTTTCTTCAAGGTCTCCCTTTTGCGGATAATATGATTTACGTGCCCCCACCTACTCGAACAGACAGATAATTCTCCCTCTGTACTCACTAAAGATTCCTGAAGGAAATATTAGTACAACTATTATTATGTCATGGCATTAATTGTGAACATGCAGAGGGTATTCCATAAAGGGGTTTAGGGTTTAAACCTTAACTCCCACTTCAATGAGTTTAAGATTACTTAAATAATATGGTTCCAGAAATGCTGCTTGCAACTTTGAGGATCAAGAACAAGGCTCATTGACGTGGGAATTAAGGTTTAAACGCTAACCCGCTTTCTGGAATACACTCTGTGTATTCCGTATGACATAATAATACATGAACTAATATTTCCTTCAGGAATCTTTAGTGAGTACAGAGAGAGATTAATCTGTGTTTGTGCTTGTGGGGGCACGAAAAATCTTATTATCCGCAAAACGGGGGCCTGGCAGAAAACGTTTGGAAACCACTGCTTTAACCCCTTGGAAATGGCTTGAGCCCTTGCCTTTCAGAAGGTATACAACTTAAGGATTATGAGAAAATTCTGAGAATTGTTCTGTCAAAATTGGCTCATATAACCAAATGCACATAAAACTATGAATTCAAAGTGAATTTTCTTGAAATGGTACAGCAAAAGTTGACCAAATTTTATCTGGAAATAGCCTGGGTCCTTGCTCTTCAGAAGGCATAAGACTTGTTTATGCATTATGGGAAAGTAAGAATTTCATTGTATTTTAGTACATCCTGTACTTCATACATATGGCAATAAGTCTTTCACCATTTTCCTATGCGTGAGTCTGCTGTTTTCCTAAACGCTGTCTGATATTGTAATGTTATGTCTATACATGCACCGCACATTGTAAGCACAGTTGATTTGACTGGGCACTGACAATGTGGATAGCTTTTCTGCAGGAGTTTACCTAGGGAGACCCGACGTCCTGGTTTCACCTGGTAAGTCCCAATTTCAAATTATGCCCTGAAATAAAAAAAATTAATATAGACCTAACAATTGGTCTATGCCCTGGTTTTAACACACTGCCAATCTAAAAAAAAGTTTGGCAAACATTTACTTGAGGGGGCACAAATAATGTAGAAACTAATGTTGGGTACATACTGACCCCATGTTAATTAGTCATAATAGTTCATGTATTTCATGCAGTTACTACACTGCCCAACCAAAAAAAAAGTCGCCATTTGAATTTTTCGTTGGACCGCCTTTAGCTTTGATTATGGTGCACATTTGTCATGGCATTGTTTCCAGAAGCTTATGCAACATCTCACCCTTTATTTTAATCCAGATTTGCATTCATTTTTCACCGAGATCCTGTATTGACAAGTGAGTTGAACCACTCCATAAAGCCTCCTTCAGCACATCCCAAAGACCTTCAATGAGGTTAAGGTCACAACTCTGTGGTGACCAAGTCATATGTGAAAGTTATTCCTCATGCTCCCTGAACCACTCTTCGACAATTCGAACCCAATGAATCTTGGCATTCTTGTCCTGGAATATGCCCATGCCAACAGGGAGGGAAAAAATCCATTGATGATGGATGGAGGTATAACCTGGCCATTCAGTAGATTCAGGTACTCAGCTGACTTCACTTTATTGCTGCATAACGCTGAGCTGTAATAATGATCCAGTTATCCACTTAAGTATTTGCTGATATAAATTCAAATTGCGACCTTTTTTTTGGCCGCGCAGTGGATATTTGTTCATGATTTGTACTGGAGTAGTAACTGAGCTTTTACAGTATGTGCCGCAAACATAGTTCAACCAACACACACATGCTTTGCAAGTGTCCCGGTGTTGGACTTTGAAGACCTGGTCATCCTAGTTTACTCAAGTCAGACTATGTGAAAGCTACACATCCCACCTCATTCACCTCAGGGGATTTGGCATATTATGGTAGTACCACATATGTATTTTTGTTCTGAAAATCCTTCATTCAATATATTACCATATTGCTCAATTTTTAGGAAATCTGGTATAAATTTCCACTGTTATGCAGACAATATACAGCTCTATATGTCCGCCAAGCCTGACTCTGCCCTTCCACCCTCTTGGTTCACCGATTGCCTACATGCTTTTCCTCTAACTTTCACAAACTCAATAGCAACAAGACAGAGATTCTCCTTATGGGTTCCTAGTATACTCTTTCCAAGTTTTTCACTCTCTGTTGATGGTTCCTCAGTAGCTTGTTCTCCTCAGGCTAAGAACATGGGGATTATCTTTGACAGTACCCTTTTTATCTGTGCTTTCTTCTATTGGTATTCATTGTTTGACTGTGTTCTGTATGCTGACCTTTAGTAACCTGATTATTATTGATTATTATCACTATACTTTCATTTTGCTGCCCTTAAGCCCATCTTTACAAAGTAACTGGGCCTCAACCAGAGACCTAAGTATTACAGAATGTGCGCAGTTCCTAAGAGCACAATCTTTTGTAGCTCTTTAGCACAACGCTTCCTGGGGAGAAGCTCCATGGTGTCATTGAATCCCTTCCTTAGGATTCCAAGTGCTCCAGTGACAATTGGCTGTATTATTCTTTTTGTGGTCCACATTGAATTTATTTCTATTGCCAGATATCTGTATTTGCTAACCTTCTCAGTTTCATTTGTTAGAAGATTAGTGTCATCTGGGATTGCAACATTGATTAGGATGTTTTGGCCTCCTTGTAATGGACCAATATATCAGACTGGTTCGCTAATATGGCTCTATCAGTATTAATGCCCATGTCTCACATAATTGTGATCATGGCATCGATGTTTGTGACTGCTTGTGGGTCATGGTCAAACCAGGACTCAGGCATTTCATGACCGAGTTCCTTGTAGATTGCCCAATGCAGAGAGCTCGCCATTTTCTTGTGCCTATGAAGGTATACAGTAGGTGCTAAGATTTATAAGCCAGCCATAATGTCACTTACGTGCTTTTCAAATTGATGGTATATTCCTCATTTACCATTGACATCCACCTTAAGAATGGCTTTTTGATGGAGTCATGTATTCAGTGCCTGGTCTTGTGCTGCAAGCAATAAATTCTCCGTATGTCCTTTGAGGCCTGAGCTTTGAAGCCATGTCAATGACTCTTATTTATCTACATACTGCTTGTCAAGTAGTTTAGAGAATTGTCCATGAAATCGTTTCGCTTTTGGTTTCTCCGCTTTGCTCTTCAGCATGCTCTCTTTCAACTGCTTCTTTAAAGCGGAGCTTGGTGAATCTTGCAGGTGGAATTGCTCTTTGACTTCAGCTGCAGAGTGAATATTTCACTTTTCCAGCTTCATGATTACTCACCATGCAAGTGAGCCTGTCTTTGCCCAATTCAATTTATTAATTGATCCTGACAGGAGCGGTGTTATATGCGAACTCAAGTTCTATTTGTCTGCGGCCACCATTTTTTCTCCGGATGTACAGTACAATCGCTCTACATCTGCCTTTGGGTGGTGGATACCGTGCATGGTGAGAAGCTTCCTTGTTTTTTGATCAAGCTTGTTGACCTCCTATCTCTTCCAGTCAATGGCACCAAAGCTATACATTGGTACTGGTACTGCGAGACTATTGATTGCAGTGATCTTGTTTTGGGAATTCAGCTCTGATTTGAGGACTTGGCATATTCGATGATAGTATTCTTTTGTAATGGCTTGTTTCATCCTGGTGTACTGGATCCCATCACTCTCATCAGTGCCAAGGTATTTGTATACCTCATCCTGGTCCAGGTCTCTAATGACAGTGTTTTGGTCCAGCTGGATCTTTTCAAATTTGGTAAGTCTTCCTCTTCGAAAGATCGTTAATGATGTCATCACTGAACCTCTTTACCATCTCCAGGCCTTCTCTGAGCTCTGCTTAATTTCTCCCAAACAGTTTGAGGTCATCCATGTACAGCAGATAGCTGGCAAGCTCTTCCTTCTTGACTGATCTTATTTATGTTAAGTATGTTGCTCAATGGTGCAAGTGACAAACAGAAAAGAAGTGGACACAGGGAGGTCCCTTGGAAGATATCCTGTTTAATAACGATTTCCCTCGTAATGATGGTTCCCCCATGCATCAGGTTCATTACTGTCTTCCAATCTTTTATTGAAACCTCCATCAACTTCCTCAGGGCTGGCCACACCTTGTAAATGTCCATTAGCAGCCTTAAGCCTTGCTTGTGCTTTTCTACTGGCTGCTTTCATGGGTACTCCCATTTTTAGCTCACCAATAACAGGAAGCTGTTTCCTGTAGGCTTCTGTCTGGCTTTGGAGCCAAGCTTTCCATGCCGGTTCCTCTCTAGTTGGCTTAGCTTTCTGTTTTTCTGGGACCCCGCCCACAATAACTACTGCGGTAGCGTAAAAGAGTTCATTCACCTCTGTGATATGGAGGTGCTGTCCCTGGATGATTCTAGAGAGTGTTTTGTTTGCAACACAGATACTCTTGTTCAGCTTATTTGAGGATTGTACTTTCAGGATATAGGATCAAAATGTTAGATGCCCATTAGACTAGTTACAGTAACCGGTTGATTTGTAATTTTGTGGAAAAGGAGGTTAAAGCAGTGGTTTCCAAACTTTCTTCAAGGCCTCCCTTTTGTGGATAATAAGATTTTCATGCCCCCACCTACTCGAACACAGACAGATCATTCTCCCTCTGTACTCACTAAAGATTCCTGAAGGAAATATTAGTACATCTATTATTATGTCATGGCATTAATTGTGAACATGCAGAGGGTATTCCAGAAAGGGGATTAGGGTTTAAACCTTAACTCCCACTTCAATGAGTTTAAGATTACTTAAATAATATGGTTCCAGAA